TAGCATCTTCACGGGCCAGCAGCTAATATAAAAGCCTCAAAGGCCAGGGTGAAATGTTTTCCAGACTCTAGGAGTTTCCTCAAGGAGCCCTCACATTTTTATTTTGGACAGCACGACTCTTGAGGCCTGAAAATAATTAATGGTTAAAGATGACTGGAACAAAGGATGGAAGCACAGGTGGTAGCGATAGAGTCCTCCCCTTGATTCGGTTTTGCTTGTGCACTGATGAAAGAAGGATTTATCAGTATGATGGCAGCGATTCTGACACAAACGCTAGCCACATTTTAGAAAAAACGTGTTTACGTGTTTTAACAGGAGGCAGAAATTACAACCAAGAGCTTTTCGGATAATTGGTATGTTGAGGTAAAGATTTCATAAATCTCTGGGCAGATGTGGCTTGTTATGAATTAAAGCTGTCAATGTATAATGGGGATTAAGAAAAGAAAATAAACATCATGCTCGGACCTGCTGATGAAATAAGGTCAGATGCCGTTTCGCTCGTAAGCGTGGCTTTGATTAGTTGTCTTTGACTCCAGGGAGCGCAGGACGAGTGGTCTGATTTATTGGAGCCACGCAATTTTTAAACATTTTCTTACCCGGGGAAATTTGCAAAGCGTTTTTATTTTCAAGCTTGTTCACATCTGGTTTCTGCTTTGAAAACCACAGTTTTCTTCTGTTGGTCACTTTGCAGCTCCGCTAAACAAGAAAAGATGTATTGCCCATGGACAGCTGTTGGGTTCTTTGCCCCTCGACTTTCACAGTTTTTGACTGTCATTTATGATATGATGCAACATTGACTTATGAAAAACTTTAACAATTGGCAAAATTTGTCTTAGACCTCTGATCTGCACACAACACATTACTGTTTAAAAACAGTTTCAAATGATTTGGTATTATATTGACCTAATTTCACCTTCCGAAATTATCCCGAGAGTCACCCAGGTGTTTCATTGCCAGATTTACAGTTAATGAATCTTCCTTAGCTGACTTGTTCCCCAGCGTAAATTACACAGTTCATCAAAGTCATATTGTCTTTGTTTATTCTTCCTTACTTGATGCAACCAAGTGCAAATAAAAGACAAAGGCAAAATAAAACAATGGTGACGACAATGTTGATGGTCGAAAACCGTGTGCTTCTCCAGCTACAGAAACACCTGCCACTAATTGCGTCTTCTCCAAGACATTCACAAATAATAAAGGCTTCAAAGACAAACCCAAAGAAAACACAACAAATGGCTCTAACAGGTATGTTACTATTGGATATGTCATGATGCAGTATGATACAACACGGTACGATATAAGACACCATATGGTGCCATACAGCCAATTTTTTTTCAGTGAATCTTTCGTGTACATGTGGCGATACTGACAAAACATGATGTTACTTCCATGATCAAACAAAAGCCATTCAGAGTCTGTCAACAATTTGATGTCAAACTCTCTTCACACTGTCGCCGATATCCTCATCCCCTCCATCCTTCCTCCTCTCGCCCAACCTCGTCTGTCCCAAGTTCAACCACTGCCGCACTTAGTTTAGCTTTACTCCAGCTAATCTTAAGCTCCGCTGTTTTTACGAAACTCCCTGCTCACACTCTGTTTGTTTCTCACGCTGGTTGCACTGTAGACTGTAGTGGGAAATACTGGCAATCGCACAGCTAATGGACATATGAAAAATCAATATGTAGCATTACAGTACAGTATTTATGGTAAATGTAGGAATTACTGCCAGGGGGACAAATGACCAAGAGCAGAACCAAAGTAGAGCATACCTGACCGACATGATTGCCTCATGCATCACCGGCCAAACTGGCTAGTAAGTTTTTATTAACGTAGACCAAAATGAATTTGAAGCCGCATTTGGCGGGTTGGTGTGTATTAATTTAGAACCCTGGATACAACACGATATGATGAACACAATAAAGACACAGTAAGATACAATGCTACATAATGCCATGCTATAGATATGATATAATATGATAGAATGTCTTCAGGTCATGGAAAAATCAGATGACACACCAAAGTCGGTGATGTTCATCCTCTTTGGATTATGAATATGTGCCCCAAGTTCTCCAAGAACCCACGCCAAGTGGGTGAGATCTACCAGTCTAGACCAGAGAATCAGACTAACTGACCCGAATGACCGAACTATAATGAGGCTAAAAACCCAGATGTGGACAAACATATGGGAGTAATTCATTAAAAACTGACAGTCTGTCCCACAAAAAAGTACAATAGCCTGTTTTGAAATAAAGGCTTTGCAAGAATTTGTCCTCTGAATGGCTTTTTCCTTTGAAAGTCATAATAAGAAGGTAATCTGAGCAAAAAAGGGTCATTGTTCAAAACGCACGGTGGGATAGGAGGAATTCTGCTGCTTATTTTTCAAACAGAACGTCTCAAATTTTACATCATTAATCTGCTTTTGAAATGAAGGGGCGACCTGGTGCTTGTTTGGTGAAGAGAGTATTTAATTTTAAGGCAGCCTGCCCACAGTTGTTGGTTTCTTTGGCAGTTTGTTGGACTTTTTTTTGGACTTTGTTGGTTATTTCACTCCAAGTTTTCTGGCAGAAAACGTCAAAACCTTGTTCATGTCGTGTCCTGGGACTCTAGCCCAAAATGTTTGGTTTAACCGGACAAGCCCTCCTGGGTTGGCAGACGGGATGTCTGAACAACCAAAACTAAAGTGTTCAGATTTTATTTCAAACTGGACTTTGTACAGACGAGAAAATGTACTGACAGCAAGTCCTTATGGATTCAGATGTCCTGGGACAGTCTACAATTTTCAGGAAGACCTCTCTTTAGAGCTGCCCTCTTTGTAGCTGGAAGCATATGATTACAACTGATGCATTTACTGCCAATGTGTACCAAGATGACATTGTATAATTATTCTATAATAGCTCTCTACTGCTTGCATGGCTCAGCCCAGAGCAGCTATAAAAACAAAAATGTCTTGAAAATGATGCCCAGTGGCTGTTTTTCTACTGGATGCAGCTTGTAATCTGCATGCTTTCAAGTTTCAGAATAAAATTCCTGTTGCAGCTTTCCAGAAACATCAGACTGACACACCTCTATGCAAAGTCACAGTCACTCAAACCCCAAAGTTTTACTCCAAGGTCGAAGTTTTTAACACACGATAAACCTTGTTTCCTCTGCATCTGTTTGATAAAAACAATCTGTGAAGTTTATTTAAGTCTCTTAAGAGTCTGGGAAATGTTCTGTGGTTTAATGCAGACCAGAATTTCCTCATGACGACCATTAAACAACTCTTTCTATCCTCTCGTCCAAGCACAAACCCTGACAACCCCAGAAAATCCAGTAGCAGCTCAAAGAAGCTTCACCTGGATGGCAGAGATCCTTAAACCAGAGTCAGCTGAAGGGAAAGCAGCAAGTTAGAAAAAAGTTTTAAACCCCTGTCTCTGAGCTGAGACATCGTCTACAAGATCACAAGTGGATCAAACCTCAAGAGCTTCTCATTACTGTGATTTACCCTGCTAGAAGGCCGTATGTGGCTCCTCAGGGCTGTAGAGGGATGCATACTAGACGCTGCCAACCACATAACCGCTGAGTGGAATGTATGTTTGTCTGGGCATGCTGATTAAAGGTGCATGTGGTACCCAGACTGCCTCACCTAGTTCACATAGCGCAGGCTGGTAGAGTGCGGGAAGGTGTGCTTTCACTTTTAAACTTGGAAACGTGACCTCATATGGACTGCTTAGTCAGCAACTCCTGACATGGAGAACCAAAGATAAAATTAGGGAAAAGAGTTAGATGCACTTTGTGAACCTTTTCATTACTCCATTAGCTGTAATCTGTCATACTTCACATGATTATAGAGCTCAGGGCTCGGCAGTGCGACTGATTCACTCGCATTTATGACTAAAAATAGATGTGTGCGAATTGTAAGATGTATTTAGGGGCACATGTGCCCATAAAAAAATAGGGCAAGGCGACAAATGTTTTTTCATGTAAATACCGCGGTGAAGTTAGTTTTAGGTTGGCTATCTGACGGACATTTACAGCAAATTTACCGGTGTCTTCTCACTCTCCAGAACCGGGAATAGCAACAGCAGCGTGGTTAAATCTACTCGGCACCCTCGCTGCCAACATCAGGTGTGGAATAAGGGACCATTAATAAAGAATCGGTTGATGCTCTCTAAAAAGTCCATGTCACGTGACCAATTGACCTAAAATTGATTTTAAATAATAGTACCAAGGTCGGACAATAAGACACACCTCATTTTTCCTCTTATTTGTCCTCTAAAGACTTTTGTGTTAAATTTAAAGGCAAATTTTGAACATTTTCTTCAATAGCTCCCATATCATGTGACCAAAAATTGATTTCAAATAATAGTACTTATGTCGACCAATAAGACACACATTATTTAATCAATTTTCATTGTGTCCCTAAATTTGTGTGCTCCTTACTTTTTTAACTCAAGAACACATGTGCTCCTTGTGAAAAAAGTTAGTGTCGAACCCTGGAGCTGCAATTTAGACATGTCTTTTTCTGTCTGTGGATTTGGAAAAACACCAGAGACATCATCAACTAAAATCTGCTGTCAATTGGTTACTACAAGTTATCGGCATCTGAAGAGACAAACCAGGACAAGGCTTTTAGTAAGGTATGGATTGGCCTCCACCTTTTCCCATTATTCAGAAATGAAGCCATAATACCACCTCAGCAGATCTCATCAAACTGATCTAGTGGCCAAGGCGTGCACCAAAACAATCTGGCTGCTAAAACCACAGGATTGATGTCCCGCCCCGCCTACTACCCAACACACACACTCTTGACTGACTGATGAAACAGCAAAGATCCCTCAGGTCGGTACAGGCCACAACAGCACAGATTCTTGTGCTGATTGGGAACAGACATTATTAGTTATGGAAAAGTTTAATGACTCTTGTTTTGTTGTTTTTTGACCTTTACTCACTCTGTTCCTCCTCTTCTCATCCAGTATGAAACGTTGCATTTGGCAACAGAGCCTTTCAGTCCCCTGGTTTCACCTAAAAAAAAAAAAGAAAAAACAATTGAAAGTTAAACTTAGCTGTCATGACAAAGAGCTAGTTTTAGAAAAATATATATTACATGTATTCAATACTTGTAGCTTGCAGCAGCAATTCAACAAGGGTGCTCTGCAAGTTTTGCCCTCACCTTTGGATTGTTGTTGTGCCAACTTCTCATGCAGTGTATGGGTAAAATTAGGGTTTAAAAGCACTGAGACTGTGTTTGCACAAGTAACCCACTGCACAGTTCATTAGCCATTTTAAAAGGTGGATAGCTAGCAACAGAAAAAAGCTGGACCAGCTGAGGAGCTGGGTGGGTGCGTCTTTTGGCAAAGCAAGGACAGAAAAGGACAGAAACTACTTGAGTCATTTTGGTGGGTAACTATACAATTGAACCGACAAACATTCACGTGGAGTTCCTCAAGGCTCCATCCTGGGGTGTGACGGTAGCGCCGTTAAGCATTGTCATTCCCCGACTGGAGCGGGACTCTCTCCAGTGTCGGTGCCGGGCACGGAGCGCATTCGTTCCCTGCAGAGCCATGCTTCGTCAAACTGTTAACTGTTTCCCCGCACCTGTGTCCCGCGGCCCTGCTCTCCAACCAACCGTTTCCCTGTTTTTCTGGACTCTTTTCTCTCCGCTGTAGGCATTGCGGGTGCAAACTCGACAACTACATGCCACACACACATATACACCCACTTACCTGCTGCCATCTTACAAGTCAAACCGGGGCACTTCCTGATCCGTCAGTAAATAGCGCAGGGTGGCGCGCTTTTGGGGGGGTCATGTGACCGCCGGACCATACCAGTATGGTTCATTTGTGATATTTTGTCCAATTTACTGTGTTTTCAAGGGGTAAGGTCATAGATGTATGGAGGGCGATTAGTGCCCCTTTTTTGTCACAGGTGAAATGGCAGATTTATTGAGGGGTTTGTTTGTGTTGGAATTTGCATATGGTATCTTAAAGGGATATTTCAGTGTAAAATTAAGTTAGGGTCAAACACACGTAACACCGAGTTAGACACCCCGTCGAGAGATGAATGTTGCCGACCGCTTGCTCCTCTAGTTATACCAACTTTAGTAATGACCGCACAATAGCAATACAGAGAGCCACGCGCTCAACCAAAAAGCCACTCTATAGCCACCAATAATGCTCAGAACAGCTCCTAACTTCATCAACAGTACAAATAGGGTCCCAGCCATAGTACTAGCCACCAAACATCTTTTTAGCTTTGACTAATTTCTTTAGCAAAGAGACTAAACACAACTCACCTACTCTCTTCCAGCAACCGCTTGTTTGTAGCAAGACCTCGGGCAAGTCCATTGACTGCAGCGGGGGGGACGCAGCTCAAGGAAGAACATTTATGATCATTTTTTTCATGGAAATGCAATCAGACCAAGATGCTAAGGAAGAAGAACTACCACGTCCACAGTGCAAAGTGATTAACATGATGATTATTACTTCCAGGAAATAATGAAGTAATGATGGCTATAGAGTGGCTTTTTGGTTGAGGTTTACGCATAGCTCTCTGTATTGCTATTGTGCGGTCTTTACTAAAGTTGGTATAACTAGAGAAGCAAGTGGTCTGCAACATTCATCTCTCAACAGGGTGTCTAACTCAGTGTTACCCCTGTCATTTGGTTTTGGATGTGCCCAGGGGAGGGGCTAGGGGGGTTTAAAAGCAGGCTGCCTGGGCCTCTCTGGGAGTGTGGAATTGGTGGCAAAGAAGGTAACTGCTGAACTGCGTCTAATATGTAAATACTAGCACTGGCTCAAGTTATAGAAAATAAGTTATGATTACTATGCAGATGACACACAGATGTTCATAGCAATGTCACCAGGAGACCATGGCCCTATACAAGTGCCTGAACAAATCAATGAGTGTCTTAAATTCCTTCGATTGAATGAAAGATGAAAATGAAGGGCCAAAAGGAGGGGATTGAAAGTCAGTCATTAAGGTCGTAAACTACTGACCAAGACAGAAATCTGGGTGTTGTCATGGACAAGACTCCATAAATGTCTTGTGTGAATGGCCTTGTTGAGTATACATGCACACTCAAACATTGCTACAAAATGCTGACATCATAGCGGCCAAAATGATAGTAGGAAGAGGCGACTAGGAGCCAAAAGCGCCAACTCTTTGCCGAGCTGAGCCGAGCCGTATGATCAGGCCTCTTGGAGCAACAGCTGATTTTTTCTGGGCTTCCAGTGCGGCTTCGGTTTAACCAAACCGCACTGGTCATTGCTTACACTTTGGCTGGAAACTTCAGCAATGAGGCCAGTTTACTAGCTGTCCTCAAATGTAGATTTCTGTCTGCATATGATAATCAAAAGCAGGATTTAGTCAGCTGATAGAGGTCCAGTAATCCCAGATTTCCAGCATAATTGATGTGTAATAAGTGAACTGCTTATAGCCACAGCATGTAGGAACAATACGCAAAAATGTGCTACACAATTAAACTTCTCTTGCTTTTCCTTCCTACTTAAGCTAAAAAATAAAAAATTGTGACATTATTTTGCCAAAAAAATGTAGAGAAGTTGGAAAAATTCACTAAAATTCACCCAGAATGGGGGATGGGTCCCTGTACCAAACGTCATGTCAATCAATCCAAACATTGTTGAGCACCTCAAGAGAGCAAGAACATCAGAAACATTAGCTTAAAAGGAAAACAAGTATAGTCAAAATTAAAAGAACTGCTCCTGGGTAGATGTTTCCAGATCAAGAGGTTAAGATCAGATATCACAGCACTCAACCTCCAGAGGTGGATCAGACGAGAGTGACAGAGATAAAAAGAGACCATCCTATTTCCATGTTTCTTGTCTAGTGTGTGTGATGAATGCCTTTCCTTTCAGCAGTGAACACAGTGTTATGGGGAGTTAAGTGGAGAGGTCTGTGATAATCTAAACATGCCCCGAGCATCTCGTATTTCATGAGCCCGAGTCTCCCTGAGCCCTGTCTCCAGTCGTCAGCAGTAAAAACTGAAAGCAGAGAGGGACTGACTGACACTGAACGGGGAGGAAGATAGCCACAGACAAAACCTCAAGCCCAGCTGAGTCATCTAAGGAGAACATTTGACATGTCGAATACTGTCCTGACTGATCGAAGGTCTTCAGGTTTAGTCTAGATCAACAAATAAGGGAGTGAAAGATCAGAAAGATACAGTTGGAGTTAAGAAAGCAGATAAAAAGACAAAGCAGAGAACTTGGCTGATAAAGACTCATGGCTTGTGCACTGAAGATGCTTGAACTCTTATGAACCTGGCGAGATTCAGAGCACAATGGGAGTCGCTGTTTTTATAGGCCATGAATGTTCCTCATTACAAGCGTTTGTTGTGGTCAAGCGTAAATCTCGGTGTCATCTTTGATGCTCGGCATAAAAAACTTTTATTTGGAGAATTCTGTTACAGTCTGACATTTCTACGATGGGGATTGTTTTGAAACAGAGTAATCTCACAAACATTCTTGTGTGCACAGATGAGGACTGGTCCTCAAAGGAAAGGGGGACAGGGATCTGGGAATTAGGCAGTCTTAGGTGGTACACATAAATCACAGATCAGTTAATTCACCACATGTGAAAGCGCATAGCTCGGCAACGTTCAGTGTCCCTTTGAGTTACATTAATCTTTTTACATCATCCAACATTTATTAGGAGTTTTAAACTTGTTGGTGTGTATAAGCTGCTTGTTGTTTCTCTTAGTTGACATGCTAAGATGGTGGTTATCAACCTTTAAAGTCACGACCCCCAACAGTAATATCAAAGGTGTTGGAAACCTCACCTCTATGCCTGTGGGTGAATACCATAATGTTTCGTGCCACTACGACATCTGATGGTGCTTGATGGTTATTGTCTTAATGCAGTAATGCTCTACTATTCAAACATAAACAAGCACAGATGACAGATAGCATCTCTAAAAGTAGCTTGGTTTGGCAGTATCTCAAACTTGAATATGTAGTTAAAGGTGTATGTAGGCTGTGTCTGGTTGAACTGGTATATAACAGCACAACTGGAGCAATATTTAGCCAATGCAGGTATGCAGATGTTAATCTTTGTTTACCTGCAGACCCTGTGAACCCCCTTTTAAGCCTAAGTGTCTTCTATCTGTTTTCTAAGTTTTTTCCAAACTTTAGACTGTTGAGGTCTGCAGAACTAAAACTTCTGTCTGAATATGTATGAAATAAGTTGTTTTTGAACATATCTATGGAAACAGAGAATGGCAATTAATTTTTCTTTTTTTAAATTCACAGTTTTCTCGTGAAAACAACATATTATCTTGTTATCTCAAAATACCAAAGTTTGTTTTCTCGACTTAGCTGTTTTCATTATCTCGACATAACAAAGATCATTTTCTCATGATAACGGAATTGGTGTTTTAGCCGACCTCAACTGTAACTTTTGAAAACGCCCTCCAGATTAGGATATCTAAGAAATGCCGCAGCCACCGTTGTCAACAGCAAGTCAGGGTTTTCAATGAAAACGCTGACGGCATGCTCCATTTTGCACATTTGCATTACACTTTCAACAAGTCGCGCATGGCAATTAAATGTTCCCACATTGAAAGTGTAATGCGCAAAATGGAACGTGCGGTCAGCGTTTTCATTGAATATCAGAAATATCTGAAGTTACCATTGAGGTCAGCTAAAACACCATCTCTGTTATCATGAGGAAATCTTTGATACATCGAAATAACGAAAAAAATAAGTCAAAAATTGTTATTTTGAGATCATGAATAATAAGTGGTTATCACGAGAAAACAGTGCATAAAAAAAAAAGAAAAAAACCCATGGCCGTTCGTGGCTTCTATAGTTATCCACTGAAGTATGAAGTATTGTGTTAGTTCAGACAAACCATAAAGTCAAGTTCAGCCCAAAGAACATCAGCTGATCTGAACTGCAGCCCATATCAGGTCAGTCATTTTCTAATGTCAAAACTGGCTTTCTTCTTTAAGTACTCTAGCTTCCCTTTTTTGCTGCCCCTCTGCAACCCAGCTCTATTTCTATACTTTATCTGATCTGAACAAAGTCATGAGTCCTTGCTGCTGCTCTCCCTGCCTTGGTGATCCATGTATAGAGGCTAGGGAGCTGTCAGAACTGAACCATACCCCCAAATATAACTACTGCATGAAAAATAGTCCTCTCTTCTATTACAAAAACTGGTCTTGGCTGAGATATGAGTTTCTCCTGCTAAACAGTGACTTTAAATCGAAGGATACAGCTATAAAGATGCATTTTTAGATGTGTGTTGATACTGCCACACGCAAATGTACATAACTGGTGTTTGTAATCATCTTCTGCATGCTAGATAACAAAGGATCACTTCCAAAGCTGATACCAATAAAAAGAGACAAAAGTCCTTGTTGTGTGCTAAAATGCTTCCTGAAGTTCAACAAAAGATAATCTAATATAAAGCGGTCCATATCTGCCAAATCAGTTTTTCCAAATCTAAGATCAACTGCAGCTCCGCAAGGAAACCCTTGACACAGGGGAGGAAATTTCATTTAGGTCTTAAATATGTGCCAGGCATATGTGTGTGTATGTGTGTATGAAAGGAATCTTCTGTAGTCCTCCACCCATTCATGTATCCTGCCATCGTGTTTGCTGGCAGAGGATGAAAATAAAACGAGCCTCCAATCGACAAAACACAAAAACTTCGTCTTTAAAGGGCTTTTTTTTTAGCATTGAAATAAAAGGTGGAAAAATAGAAGCTGTACTGGAATGTGATATCAGGGTGCTGGGAAAGTTTTAACATTAAGAAATGGTTTATTCTTTCCATTATGCTCCCGCAGACTATCAAGGCAGTAAGAGTTAACACTGAAGCTAAGAGTCTGTAGCTCGGTGACTAAGCAGAAGTCTGCTGGCTAACTTTTTATTGCAGCAGGTATATTCCTTCTGACACCTTAATGAGTGGGTATGCAAGCAGGGTTTCCAGTCATAAAAGCAGCCCTCGGGGTAACTCCTTCTCCAACCACCTATCACCGTTTTAAGATAACAGTCCCACACAAATACATAAAGGCATATTTACTGAGACCAGCTGCGTGCTGGGCTGCAGTTTTTGGCTAATTTTGGCGTAATTTTTACGGACCTTGAAGCTGTTTGGACACATTCTCCCACAAGCCGGTAAAAGGTTGAGGTCCAGCTGTCTTCTCGGATCAGTTTGAAAACCTGTCTTGGATTGCCTCCCTTGTGAATGAACGGCCATAACTTTTATTATATGATTAAAGTAAGAGGAAAGTATGATGCAAATGAATAGAACCAAGGTTTAGAGCAGAGATTTAACTCTGTAAGAACTGTAGGTTAAATGTGGTGTACCCATCAGGAGTTAAGGAGACATTGGTGAGAGTGGTTGGATTGTAATAAGTGATTTACTAGCTCTGCTGGCACTGAGGTCCTCTCTAGACTTGGCCATGCTGCTCTATTAAAAAGTGAGTCCAATGCTTTGGTCCAGACTGAATTAATTCCTATAAATTAACTCTACATGATCACAAATGTTTAGCATCAAGAGCTTTCAGGTTTCTGCTTACATCTTGAGAAATATGGGCCTCTCCTGTTCCTACATGCTGTGGCTATAGGCAGTTCACTTATTACACATCAATGATGCTGGAAACCTGGGATTACTGGACCTCTATCAGCTGACTAAATCCTGCTTTTGATTATCATTTGCAGACAGAAATCTACATTTGAGGGCAGCTAGTAAACTGGCCTCATTGCTGAAGTTTCCAGCCAAAGTGTAAGCAATGACCAGTGCGGTTTGGTTAAACCAAAGCCTTAGTGAGAGCCCAGAAAAAATCAGCTGTTGCTCCAAGAGGCCTGATCATACGGCTCGGCTCAGCTCGGCAAAGAGTTGGCGCTTTTGGCTCCTAGTCGCCTCTTCCTACTATCATTTTGGCGGCTATGATGTCAGCATTTTGTAGCAATGTTTGAGTGTGCATGTATACTCAAGTACACTGGTAGTTTTTTTTAATAATAAATAGATTCATTCCCATAGAAAATCATCACTTTTCTTCGCATTGTGTCTGATTGGTCACACAGCACCCACATTGACCCAGCTTTCTCTAAATGCGTGGTGTGCCTGATGATGCAGACACACAAAAACATGAAAAACATCCAAAAATCTGCCCCCATTTCAACAAAGAATTGCTTATAAACACCGTACTGCACAGGGTGTTCTAGGACTTCTTGTATCCTGGATGTGGCTGGCACAGCTTTTTATCAACAAAATCAAAATTTAAAGCAAACAGCGGTGCACTTTTGAGCAAATACACATCGGAGAGTGTTGGCTCTTATTGTAAAGACGGTTAAATTCAGCAGCAGCATGAGTCTGGTCCCACTCAAGGTTTCTGCCTGTTAAAAGGAAGTTTTTCCTTGCCACTGTCACTCGTGTTTGATGAAATGGGTCCCATCTTAAGGTCGGGTCTTGGTAATTCATCAAACAATGAGCGTGGTCTAGACCTGCTCATTTTTGGAAAGCGTCTTGAGATAACGACTGTTGTGATTTGGCGCTGTATAAATAAAATTTGATTGATTGATTTGATTTGTTGATTAAATTTAAGACAACAAGTGACATTGCTGAAGTATGCTTTGGTTTCTTAGCATCCTAGTCGCCTTTAGTGTGTCTGTACAAAGCAGTAAATGCCAGACTTAAGAAACAAAGCCAATGCAGAAGCACTGAAAACTGCCATTCCCCAGAGTATCGCATCAAATGCAAGGAGGCATAAGGCCTCTAATAGGTTAACTGAACGTTATGTTGAGTCAGCGTTACCAATATGGCGAGCGCCACGAATGCACTTCAAACTTATGCTTTAGAAACAAATGGGTGACGTCACTGATGGTAAATCCAGTGATTATACAGCCTGTGGTCTGTACCATGAGGCTGAGTGGAGTGGAAAGATTGTTCCTCCGTTTTATCGTATATTAAATTAACAACAAAAGGGAAAAAAGAAAAACAGCTCTCAAAGAGAAGCTGGCTCACATGCAAGAGAGAAAGTCGATGTGCATCCTCACAGAGCTGCTAGCATTGCTTTCATATAATTTATTCATCCATACGATTTACTGCTTATGACTTATTTGCGTGTTGCTGTACTTCTTTTGGTTATTTAGTTAACAGCCGTGCAAGTTTACTCTTGATTTATACTCTGAGGAGCAACATGTTGAAAAGAAATCGACTAAAAGTAAGAAGGAAAATGTGGGTCATGACTGAAGCCAAGGCTCTGAGCTGGCATTGAAACGTCTCATTTCGTGTATCAAGAATTTAAATCACTGCTGCCATCGTTCTTTTCTCTTTAGTCACTTCTTGAAGGGTTGTTTAACTTTAAAAGTTATGCTGATGATCGAGGATTGGATTGCAAAATAATGTTATCCCTTTTTCTCATCCTGGCCCTGTCCTGCTCCGCTAATCTTCCCGTTGTTGTAGTGAGTTGATTTGTATTCATTGAATCCCTGCTTATTTACATATAGTGTGGCATACATGGATATAAAGGCTAAAAGCTTTCAAATATACAGTCTAAAGAGACAAAACATAAACACAAGAAGAGCCAAACTATTCCTCTTTGTTGAGGAGACAATGTCAAGCGTACAGAAAACAGACAAGTCGCTGAAATACAACCATATTGGCTTAATTCCTTGATTACTCCTGTGTGTGCTCCCATGAAAGACCAAAGACCCAATTGTGGCTTGTGATATGGAAAAACACATGCACTGGATTATAGCGCTGCACTCATATCACCCGCAACACTGCGAATATGAATAGGCCATTTTGTTCCTCTTGCAATGATTCCCAGACTTTATCTTCCATGGGTGACACTGAAACAATGCCTTATTTAAGAAAATCACCAAGAATCTGGTGAATGTGTTATTCTCTTAAATAACCTTCACTGAGTTGATTTATGCCTGTAACAAGGTGTTTTTCATTGGCTCCATTTTTGTGTTGCCAGCGTTTGGACTGACATTTAGGCAGCAGTGGAAAAGGTAAAAGCAGTAGCAGCAGAGGCTCATTATTTCCCATGTTCATCACCTCCCCACAGTGTATGGATTGGGTGATATCCACACGGTGGTTTGCAGGAATCTGCCAGCTGGATAGAGCGTTGTTTCCATAATGCCGGCAAGTTGTGGTGCCTATGTCTCCAGAAGCCTCTGCAAAAAGCGTATCAAAATCCATAAATCTCAGAGGCTTCTGGACAGGAGTGGAGGGGTAGTGGAAAATCACGCAAATTACTTTAACAGCCGTTTTACTTTTCTATTTTTGTGTCCTCTCAGGTTTCAGTACTTTATTCTTGCCTCAAAACAAGATATCTTCTACATCAATCAAAGAGTGATGAATAAATCTGTAAACATAATTATTTTTGGACATGTCAGGCAGACTAGTAACAGCCACAAGTGTTTCTGTATTTCCTGCTGATAGAAGACTTTGGAGCCTACTTATCATACATCACAGGAACCTTTTGTCTGACCACTGTTTTTTTGACAAGAGGGGTGAGCAAGGGAGTGTTTTCAACCTAAAATTTGACTTTTTGATATAACAATTCACATATTTTTATTAGTACAAACTGTACCTTTAAAGATATGGAAAACTTCTTCGCAGAAAAATCTACAAGCATTAACTTCCAAACATGGTTTTGGCCACATGATTCATGTAAAAATTTGCTTCACTTTTTTTATGCAAATAAATTTAGATTTAAAGCTCCTGTGAGGAACTTTCAGCACCTCCTGTGAACAAACAAATCTGCTGATATTGTATCAAAATGTCATTTAGCATCAGAATTAAATAAGCAGAAAAAGTAACAACTCTTGTAATTGGTCTTGGACAGAGAACAGTATGAACTTGAGTCTGTTTAACCATGAGCTGAAACCTCCTCACAGGACCTTTAATAATAATAACCGATTAAAGCTCCTGTGAGAAATTTTCGGTCTGTGTTGATTTTGGCGCCCCCTGTGGACAAAGCATGTTTTGCTAATCATATGCTCTATATGCTTGAGTCATATCTCCTAACAAAAAAAGAAAAAAATCTAATCAAACATATTGTTTATTGTAGATATTTTAAGTAAAAATAGGGTTTCTTCCTCTGACTCTTCCTCCCTCACACCAGTCTCAGGCATGAAAAGTTACCTTTAAAAATCAACAGTATTGTGGCTGTTTGTTTTGTTTTTGCTTATCACGAGAAGGCATCAACATGAAGTCTCTATTTTATAAACATAAAAAATCCTGACAAGAGCTTTAAGGAAGCACCTCTTAACAATAATATTTGATTTAGTTACATTAAGTCACAGGAAACGTGGTGTTGCCATGGAGTCAGCTTTTGGTTTTGTTCCCATTAATATTTGAGCATTTTTAAATATAGATTTTAACAAATGCCAATATAATATGCCACATGATGCTATGATGGTTTCTGTTGCTCTTTTGTTGACAACTATCCAAGGATTAGTTTGACACATAAGCAAAATTAAAAAAAGGAAAAACATGAAACTCTCATGAATGTTTTGGAAATCAGGGTGTGTCTTCTTTCAGTGATAGTCAAAGACACTTATTTGATTAAATCCACTGAAAGTTTAAGTGACATATCCTTACACGTGCGTTTTTCTGTGTGAAAATCTAAGTGTTCTGAATCAGAGAAGGATCAGATTGTGACGCAGATTGAGTCTGGCTTTTAAACGGCTTAATTTCCTCTCTAAATGATGACTCATGAGTTTAGAGTTTCTCAATGTTGCTGACCATGTCGATAAGCAGGCCAAACGACCACAAAATTCCTCCAGTAACCTTTTTGTAAGGTTTTTATCCACCCACAATGTCACGCAGGCCTCTTATCACTCATTTAACACCCTTTTACAAAGTTAATATCTGATATAAACTATAAAGGAAACTATCTAGCTCTGCACTGACCAAACGTGGCCACATGTTCACCTGCTGGGAGCTCGGTTTACCCTTTCTCTTTTTAGTGCTGTGTAGATATTTATAGAACAGATTAAGTGGAGCTCTTGTGTAAAAAAACAGCTGTTGCTGCTTGTTACTGGAAATTAAGCTAGTCAGCGTGGTGAAAATGAACCAAAACAATGTGCTTACTGAACTTCAACTGCTTCACATGGCCTGTAGGCGCCGCAGAGCGAAGCGGTTCATTGTGAGTTTGTAACCGCTGAAAAATCCCCTTGGTTATCCTAAATCCATCTAAAAATTGGTGGTAAAGCTGATTAAAAGAAATCTTTTCATCTTTTTTAACCCATCCCAGCTGCTGTAAGTGGGCTGTTCTTAATAAGAAAGGTTGGCACCACCCAAAGGTCTAACATCTGGCTGTCAAAGAACGCCAAATCCGGACTATAAGGAAGACTGGGTGGACCTGAAATAACATTAAAGACCATTATGGACATTTTTGACTGACGTTGATCCATTGCCTTTTCCAGTAGAGACACTTACACCTCTTTGACTTAAAGGTGGTGGAGCAGCTGGGTTTACATTTGCAGGCTGTCTCTTCGTCTCACTCATGTGGTGTTATTGTCAAGTGATGCTGCAGCAATGCCTCATGGGTGCTGCAGAATAGTGAAGCCCTTTAGTATTAAAGTACTAAGTGTGTGGTTGCGTGGGCCTGTGGATAAGCAGAGGGGGTAAGAAAGAGTGTTCATGAGTGCAGTCCATTTTCCGTCTCTTTTTTTTTTCTCTTCTTCTTCTTCTTCTTTTCTTTCATGCACGTGCACACTTGCTGCCGGTGCACCCGCTCAGAGCCGATAGGGAAAGCGTCGAGTCTGGAATCATTTAAACGGAGTGAGAACACATTCCTGCATGTGGAATCATTCCTCCCAATAAGAGTGTCATTGTTTCCAAAGTCAGCTTTGCTTTCACTGTGATTCAGGTAGAATTTTTTCCTTTATATTTCATGTTTCCTGTCACTCATACAGAATTTCAAAAAAACATGCAGGGAGTGTATCCAGGAGTCATCCCAGTTATGACTTTTCTGATTTGAAGAATGTGATCGATTGTGCGGTTTGGGCGAGGGAAAAGGAGAAAAATGATATTTAATATCCGCACATATTTTGTAGAAACTTCTGTTCAGAGCTGAATGGAGGACACATAAAACCAGCGATTTAATACTGTAGTTTTCCACAAAAATGCTCAAATCTGCTCCTTAGGGGAGTTTTACAGAGGCTAGTGCTTTTCTATACTTTCCCTGTACACAAATCCCTGAAAATGGTTTAAGTGAAGTTGTGTAGCTTCTCAAGTTACACTCAAATCCAAACTCGCTAGTCTCTACTGTATCTTTACAACAAGTTACAGTGTAGTTTCATCTTTGTTTAGAAAGGCTCTGTAATTTCCTAAAACAGCAGGGTGAAAGCTGAGTAAATACTACAATTTGCATATTGGGGACTATTTTTGGCCGGAGGATAATACACATTTAGTGCTGTGCAGCTTTTTACAGCAGCAGACAGAAAATAAACTACAAAGCCTGTGTTTGTTATAATGAATGAGAGCGGCTTTGATGTGTTTTTTGATTTTTTGAAGGACAAATGAGCCCTCTGACCAAGGCACCGTCCACATGTATGAGAATATTTCTGAAAATGTAGCTTTTTCTCTGCGTTTTGACCTCCTGTCCAATTGCAAACAGAGTCTTAGGTCACTGAAAACAGAGGTTTTGGAGGTTGTTTTTGGATGGACGGTAGAACTTAAGTTTTAGAAAATGCTTATGTACTCTGGCATCCTCATCATTGTTACACATTGCCAGGACATGGGGGTCCAAGCTTATTTTGGTTTGGTCAGCATGGTTAGGTTCAATTTAAAGTTAACAAAGAAACCTGGATGTTCATCATGATACTGTGGCGTGGGGGCCAATAGATACATAACACTTAATAGTTATAGTTGGGTGTTGCCTGTTTTCTGTATAAAGCCAATGTAGTGCAATAGTTAGCATCTTAAACTCACAATTCTCTCAGCCGAAAATAGTACAGCTCCATATAACAAAGGTGCAGGACTTCTGATATGGACTTTGCTACCCTATTCCTATTTAAAAGTATATCTTCCAGGTCTAGAATAAGTGGCAAGTGGCAATGAAGCCTCTGGAAATGAGTTAAAAACTGCAGTTCCTCAAGTCTCCACTTGAGGCTGGCTGCAAAATCAAGGAGGGCCATTAACACCCATGTTCAAAAGTCCATCTTTAGAGCAGAGATACACATTAACCGGAGAGATCAAGATTTGAGTTTTAACGATGAGATGAGATCTTTATTGATCCCTGAAGGGAAATTCAATCAGGCACCACAATGACCTAAAAATGGGACAAATATGAGATAAATGTGAGAGAAGTGGGTTTGTCTCATATTTGGAGTTTAGTAGATGCCAACACAGTTGATGGTGCCACCTACTCATAAAGCAAGTGTACCGTGTTGTAAGAAAATACATGTATAATTTAGTGGTTAGTGGAATATTTAGACTTTTTTGTTTGTTTAGTATGACTAGATTAATTTGTCTTGACGTTTTTTCCACCAGAGCAGGACCAAAACCATTCGCCTTTTTTATTTGTTTTAAACTTTCATCGGCTAAAACTAGACCAAAAATATTTTTACTTTTTGTTGACTATAATTAGACTGAAATGTTTGACTTTTAAAACTAGACTAAAGCCATTTAGGGCAAAAATGACTAAAATGTGACCTAAACTAGAAGGAATTCAAGTGCAAAGACAAACATTGGAACTTTTTAAGGTAATCAAAACGAGTGACCTATCTAACCTCAGTCGTCTAAAGACATAGCCACGAGTATATTAAACTGTTTGATGAATTAAACCCGCATTTAAACTTGATTTTATTTCCTTTCTGAGGGTTATCTTAAAATAACAGCTGAAGCATTTATGAGATGCCACAGTGCACCGGTTTGTCGTCAGTGATTCCCACGATGGCCTGTCATGTGCGATCATTCAGGAACATTACACTGCCTCGAAATCTGAACCCAATTAAAACCCTCACATGATTTTCCTTGAAACCCGAAGCTGCTTTGAAGGCTGACATCTTGATGCGCCACTTTGCGGCTCTGTGTCTGAGAGCTTTAGTTGATGGGCAGTGACTCATACCAGTTTAAAGTATGGCTCCCCTTGTGGTGGCACGGGCGGCCAGCCACATAGTTGCCTGTGGTGAGAGCCACTGCACTGGAATAGAAGTTTATTACTGGCCACCAAGTTAAGCCCTGCTCACCAAATTGATACCTTGGAGCAAATATAACGTAGAAAATCACATATACGCATAAACTGTGAAGTAAATGCACACCCATGCATGTCTACACTTACAGATGGACATGCACACACTCGACACACACATACACGCACACAAACAGGCAGAAGCTATACTTTGAAAGTTCCTGTTTAGGTGTAAGTGGGTGAGAAATGTGGGCACATTGTTCTGTCTCTAAGAAAAGTTGCACCAGTTCACAGAGGAGAGGAGCCTGAAAAAGACTGGAGATTGAAGGTTGGGATAAGAAAAGTGTGCTTTGTACATAACAGAGGAGACAGATGAGATATATGTGTGAAGGGATCTTCTACTTTGATATTTAATGCATGACACACTTTATCCCTGAGAAACTATTTTCTATTTTTAAGAGGGGGGAAAAAAATCACAGAAAGGTTCACAGACAGCTCTCTCTTCTTTGACAAATGTGACAAGTGGCCCCGTCAGAGCGCCATCATCTCAGAGAAATTCAAGACGTGATGTCACATCAATGCCTTATATAGCTGCAGCGGCGTTAAAGAAACCACTGTTCCCCACATTTCCCAATACTGCTGGTTTTGTTAGACAGGCTTCAGATATGTGCTTCACACGCTCACACACACACACTTAATAATGGTCTGGGTTTAGTTTTGGCTCCAGACTCTTGGCAAAAGCTTGATCACACTCAATAAAGAGGCAAATACAAGTGACTGACAGACCGCTTTTATTGCACTACTCAGCACTTCGAACTGCACAGAAGCTCTGATGAGTTGAAATCCGATTTGTGATAGAGTTAAATTTAGCTCGGCGCACATCTGAAAAAACAACTCGGTCTGTGTTGGCTGAAGGATTCAGACATAAAAATGTTTCACGGAGGAAATTTTCTGTTTTGGCTTGACCCTCAAAATGCTGATTAAGATAAACAGCGTCAGAATTGTCTAGTTTATCTATTAGATATTTCTTGATGCAATTAAATATCAAAATACTTCTAAAGTATCTGTAAAAACACTCACTTCTGAAGTACTACACCCACGGGATTAGTTTTATCTGGAGACTTCAGGTTATCTGTGAGTTATCCTCTGATATCAGTGTTATTCTTCACCGTTCCTAACAGGACTGTAGTACTCAAGTCCAGGACTCTTTAGCTGTGATGGCTTTAGTCTCGACTCCACAGAAAAGGACTCAGGCTAATGCATGGACAAAGACAGTTTTCATGTTTATGGTACTATGCATTTTAGAAAGGAAGCACTTTTGTTCACCTGCATGCATGTTTATGTGCCTATAGTTATGGTCAGGATAGAGACATGTCTACTAATCATGTCTTTGGCTTTTGATGCAAGACCAGAGTGACTTGAGATACTAAAGTTATCTAGATTGTTGAGTGCATTACAGTGGTGCAAAAGAAAGACTGGGCCAACCTCCCTTAAAGGTGGGGTAGGCAGGATCTGAGGTAGTGTCAGTTTTTGAGAGAAATCTTGAGTGTAAACTCCACCCCTCTGAACTAGTTTTCCCCTCAGCTCCTCCTCTCCCCTCCCTCTCTGCTCCAGCAAGCCCCGCCCACAAACTTCTTTGTATATACACCACAAAAAAAGATCTTTAACAGAATCCTTCTTACCCCATCTTTAAACTAGGCTTACTGTTAACAGTAACTGCGAGTGTCTCCTCATTAGAAGAAGTGCTGTTACTTGATCTCAAGTCATAAGATCTGAAAACACAACTTTGCGATCAGTCCAAATCTAATGCTAATAAAAGAAATGTGTGTTTTTTTGTTTTTTTTATACACCCAAAAGGTCCCACGGCGTCAGAGTTGGTTCAGACAGTCAGTCCAAGTTCACGCTGTCAACAGTTTGTGGAGAGCAGGAGCCACCCTGATAGCAACATAAAGGTTTATTCATGATGAGGAGCGGACTCAGTCTTGGACACTGGTCTTGAGGCGTGTCTCAGATTGGAACACTAAGAATTTGACACTCATCTGGGACCTGAGATTTGGGGATTTGACTACAAAATTGCTGAATAAGCAAAAAACAAGAAGATAAAGTTGTAATGAGACAGTTGGATATGGAGATGAACAAGTCAATTGGTGATTACAAAGAAACAATAAATAAAGAGCTGCACTTCTTTAGTTTGAAAGGGAAGAAAAAGCTAAAAGTCTAATATTATTATTACTATTATTGTTATTGTATTACAAAATGGATATAAGAATCCAATCGAAGGACTGATTTAACCTAAGAGGCTAAATTTAAGCTAACTCTAGAAGCTAACAGATAGTGTTGACCTGAATTTATTTTAATTTGATTCAGTAAGATAAACTGAGATGTAGTCACACAGAGTTTCTTCACCAATAGTGTTGTTTTTCTTTTCTCGGTAATTCGACGTTCAGGCAAATTTCATATCACATATGTTCAAAATTCTGCAGTATTTATGTTTAGTAATTTGTAAAGCAAAAGGACACAGGAGAAGTATGAAGAAGCAGAGGCTCTCTTTCTACGCGTCATTTCTGCAAACCATGTGAAATACAGAAAACTAAAATGAGCCTAAATAAGAAGTACATGTAGGAGGAGGAGTTTTCCTCAAATCTTTACCTGCTATTTTTTCGACATATTTCGGGTTTATTTGGGTTTCTCACAAAGTGAAATTGAAATGAAAATGGAGCACCAAAAAAGAGAAACAGTGAAATCTCAGGCCCAAAGTCTCAGCTCTGAAAGCTTTAAGAGTCAATAAACTTTCTGCCCACTTCCTGGCTTCGCTGACGGAGTCACTGGGTACAAGATTACTTACTTTCCTCCTCCTACTTGACGAGGTGAGCTTAATTTGGAACTCAAGGGTTTTTCTAATTGTCGGTTTGTTTGCTGAGCACTCTGGCTTTCATTCATCAAACCCTCAGAGAGACCCCTAGTGTTGGAAACTTTTAAATGCATTCACAGGCTTTGGAGCGCGGCGTCTGTAGCGTGTGGTGGGCCTCTGTGACTGCGGTGTGTTTTCAAGATGAGCAGATAATAGACAGAAAATAGACACTCGGGGACAGGTTGGAAGGGGTGAATCTCATTCAGCTGCAAACTCTCACAGCTCTGGAGGCTCTAATTTGATTTGGCTGGAAGTGAAACTTTCCAGAATGCCTCATGGAAGTCCTCCAAAATTAACTTCCTGGATATTCTACAGGGCCTCTGTGTCTACATCCATTCTCATACCAAACTAGGGCTCTGGCCAACTTTATGGTGGCGGTGTGTATTTGTCAGGGTATTATAGAAATATATGAATCCATTTGGAACAAAAAGAGGGAGGACAGGCGTGTGAGGGTGGAATAAAAGCAGATGAGAAGAAGAGTCATGGGGTTTCTTTAATCAAAATGATCAGATACGACGATAACGGAGGACAATATTAGTGTTATTAGAGCTACTCACACAGGGGGGAGTGAGAAACACATGCTGTGATGGTTTAATAGTTTCCAACCTCTTTACTCGGGGCCCTGCTCTTCAGATTAGCTTAAACAGTTCCGGGCAATATCCTGCTATCAAACTGAAATGATCCTATTTATATTTCAGCTCATTTTTTTCTGTCTTTGTGTATTAATCCCAGCATGCACTTAGCAACCAGGTTAATGCTACACTTGACTATGCACCACGCATCTTACTCTATACCTGAAGAGGGATCACCAGAGAGAGCGGTTGTACGATTGAAGGGATGTAAAGATGAGTGGTGACAGAGGTCTCAGGAGTTACTGTTGTGTTAATTTTGGGTTTCAGTGGCCAATCTTTAGACATACAGCTCCAGACTTATTGACTAATGAGGTTAAACTTATCAGTCCCCAGTTATTCTGACTGGTGACTCAGTTACTGCTAAATCCCACGGGATACGGGACGGCTGTGCTCCTCTCCGAAAGGGCATCCTGATCAGATACGCAAGCATTGTAATCAATTTGTGTAATTCAACACAATCTGTCCGCCACCTGACTCCGCTGCGGGGGTCGGATCAGATACATAGGGCTTCTATTTTTGCCGGACGTCGCAGCACAACGCAACAAATTTAGTGCAGCACAGCACGAGCAGCATCTGAAGTTGTATGCGGCTACAGAGTAAAATATCCGGCTAATTTTCAAAATAAAATAAAGTCAATACGTTGAACTGTTCTTCACGCGATAATAGGAGGGGTCAGGGTTGTGGGATGTGGGTGTTTATATACACCACTGATCTCGTGAGATCTCGTCCAGTCTCGCAAAAAATATCATTAATATTGCAAGCGCCTCTCCTCCACCTCTCCTCCTATGGACAATGTTTGCTTGCGTTTTTGATCTGCCTGCCGTTCCGGAGCGGAGTGTAGCGGATCTGCATTCAGTGGAATCCTGGCATTTCCATGCAGATGTGGATCACATCAGACCTGGTCCATCAGTTTGACAATAAATCTTTCTGCCATTGTTCTCTCACATCCCCTCTGCCTCTTCACTCTCCCTACTGTTCATGTGCATACTTATTAAACAGTCTATGACGCTCTGCAGTGGATCAAACTACTATTTAAATTAAGAGATGCACAGTGCAAATTCACACACCCATGCAAAAGTCCAAAACTGATGCACAGTTTGACCACATTAAAACTCCTGTAATGAACATTCCGGATGTACAGCCACAGCTGGGGAGTCCAAGTATTGCTATGTGGCTAAGTGAGAGCCATAGAGGTGGGAATTTTTGCATAGCTACCAGACTATCAGAGACTACATCTGAATACAAGCTGTGGGATTTTACACGTTATAAACTTGTTCTTCTGCACAGGAGTGAGGTCTAGCCTATCAAGACTTGTCACTACAGTGTGTCTAACAAGATGCAATAATGAGTTCATAAACACAGGCATGTCTCTCTTTCTCTCCTCCATCAATTATAAAGTGATATGAACCCGAACACCCCTACAGCCCTGGAGCACTTCTGTTATAAAGTCTGGTCTTGCATTTTTTTCCTCTTTCTCTCTTTTTTTTTTCAGTTTTCTATCTTTGTGCGTATTTTGATTTGCCACTCTGTCACTTGTTTTGCCTCTTTATCATTTGCATCTGTTGCATTCATTCCAGACTTTTGCACCTGTTTTTGAATTTGCAGCATGTTTTTCCTAATAAGGGTCGTTTGGGCTTGCGTCTTGGGAAACTGAAACAACCAACAATTCTCAGAAATAATAACACACCTGCAATTTCTTGAACAATTTTCAGCAAAGTATCGACTGCAGGGACTGTAAGGACTCGATGAAAGGTAAATGTCAGCCAGAACAAGACATAGGAGCAAAATTATTTGTAATTTGGAGAAACCGGACACACTTTTTCCATAGTTTCCTCTCAAATTTTACCCTCAGTCTATCAAAAATGAATATTTTCTGCTCTCCTTGCTCTCAAACTTCAACAAATGTTCCCCTGCATGAAAAACAACCCTCTCAAAGTTAAACAGACAACACTGAACCATCTTTTCAAACCTAAAATGGATCATTGGTGTTAAATGATGAGTTGACAGCAGGGTTGCGCTCAAGTTACCAAACCTCCACTCGAGGTTGAGTCTTTAGAGCCAAGCAGTTAAGTCCAAGTCACAAAAGAAGAATCTGAGTCAGGTCCAAGCCTCGTCCTGAAGGATTCATAAAGCGAATCACAGTTTCCCTCCAAACCATTAACTGTACAAACCTGGACTGACTGTGTGGAGCCCATGGATTTAAAGAGAACGCATTTCTTTAAATCCTGACTGACCCTGCTGGCATGTCTGGAGATCATACATCAGGGAGACGCACTCATCAATTCAGAGGCAGCAGAGTCACAGCAGGTGTCTAATTCACCAAAAAGTACCTTAAGGCTGCAGCCCACCTGACATTAATCTGAATCTGAGTCACTTCAGAGGCTCACAATTAATGTTGTCAACAGTCTGAGTAACTCTAGCCTCTCATTTACTTGAATAAACAGCTGTTACAGTTTGAGCTTTTCTCTTTCTTCCTTAAAGCTACATTAAGGATTTTTTTAAGGTTAATGAAATAGCCAAAAATTTATATGGATGCCTTCTCAAGCAAAACCACTAAGAATTTTCATATCCTAATTTTCACAATCAGTGTGAGCTTCAATGGGTCTTTTGCTTCTGCTCTCTCTTTTATATTTGCTGTAAAATCCTTGGAAGTAAAACTCATGATCCATGGCGTCCCTTTAGTTATCATTGCAAAAACTTTTAGCTGAAAAAAAATCAGCCAAACACGTGACAGCCCTTGCATGACAATGAAAAATTATCAGAGCCTAATTCAAAGACTGAGAAAAACAAATATTTTTAAATGTAAATAAAGCTCCTTTCCAATCTTCTGAGTCCAAATACAGTCAGTCCTTGAACTCCAGAACTTAAACACTGATTCTAATGCTGCGTTCCAGTTGTACTCGGTAGTCGGAATTTCATTTGGAACACCCCCCTGAAGTCGGATTTCTGACTCGTGAAGTTGGACAATCCTCACCAACTCCGACTTGACGACAAAATCATAATCCAAGATGGCAGCGCAGTGCATCAACAGTAAAGAGTAACAGTGAAAGCTCTCGTAATGTTTTATTTATTAGCACTTCTGTTTTGTTTTAATGAAATTAAATAAGTGGTATATGTTGTACTGCCCAACGTCTAACTGTGAACACGGTGCTATGGTGTTTGTACGAGTAAAATACTGTGTCATTCGTTGTTTACAACTGGTATAGCTAACAACAACTAACAACAGCTGACAACTGCTGACGACAGCTGACAATTGTTAACAACCGCTAACAACAGCTAACTGTGGGCGTCCATCTTGGTTTTCCGGCTTGTTTACTAGAACGCTGTCAACTCAGGTGTAACGTCATTCCCAGCTCCAACATCCGACTTCTGAGGTAACCGGAACGCAGCATATGTGTGGGGGATATAACTTCTTATCTGATATTTGAATAAACTCAGGTTAACTCCATCTATTACTGTCATGTTGAATAAAAGTGACGTTAAGTCACAAAAACACTTTAAAAAATTAGGAATTAGCCTATCTAAGTTCTATCAACTTGGTCTGTGATCTTATTTGGACTTTTGACAACTTATTCCGACTGAATGAACCTGAATAAATCCCTCTACTCTCGGTATTGGGATTGATTTGACAGGATGATGTCTGTGAAGTTTGTTTTACATTAGTCTGCTGAAAGGGGAAAGTTTTACCGTCCTTTACCTTCAATCTGGCAGCCTGATGCTGTGTGAATTTCTTCTCATGAAAAACTAGGTTAAGCGTATTGCAATATGGAAAAGGGATGAGCTTCAACTCTCCACCTCCCTCCTCTGCTTTCCCTCCCTTCTTCTTCTCCTCTATGTGTTTCTGTCTGCATGAGAAAGGGGGCATTGTTTCTTAATTAATACACCATGTGTTTGGAGCGCACACGACTAAAGGAGGCGCAATGTACGAGGGATTTATGGTTTTGTCGGCACACAGGCCATCAATTAGGAGATACAAGTTGTTTGAAAACTTCCTGACGTGTTCAGTGTGTCGTAGAGTTGGATATGTGCGATGTTTTAAAGTTTTACTCCCAGTAAAACATGGCCTAGAGGAGGAGAAATGATCATGTATAAAGCACTAAAGTAGGACGGTTACACCTTAAAAAAAAAAAAGGATTTTTCAAAATGTCTGATATTTTCATCACAGGATAAAGGTCACAGCTCAAAAGCCCTAACAGTATCTCAACCTGATAAAGCAGAAGATAAACTTTATCTATAGACTTCTCCCAGTCCGCCACACATGGGTTTGTGCGTGCGTGTCCATGCCAGTGTTGCACACAGAGGTAGTTCCTGGCTACCGTTATGGCACAGAGTCCAGAGAAGCAGCCAGCTGAAGACAGGAACTTGGACAGGTCTTGAATACTTGGACTACAAAGTTTACAACTGAAAACAAATAAAGTCTGCAGAGAGCAAACGTCCGGAGCTGCTGGTGTTTATACAAAAAGCTCATTAGTGTGAGATCAGGTTGAGGTTTTACAGCCGACCTCTTCCCTCTCCGTGCCAACTATACAACCTGTGATTATTCTTCTTTAAGTAGAAGCCTGAGACCTACAGCACTGCGTCTTCGCCTTTAAAGACTCATTGCTATTTTTTCTGGAGGGAGAGGAGTGTTTTTAAGAGATGATTTCAGAGCTGTAATGCTACCTCCTGTGCCACAGACAGACATCTGTCGCGCACATTGCCGCGCTGCAGAGAGGATGTTCTTCATCTGGTGAGAGTTTCGGGGTGCTGTTTGGTTTCCACTTAAATCCCTCATTTTTCCGTTCACTAAAATATTTGCTGTAGTCCTTCATGTGCATTTTATGTTGAGTGAACTTGGTGTTTTATTGAAGTTAAAAGTCTTAGATGAATCAGCAGGGAAAAACCTCTGAAACCCAAATCCACAATAGCAGTCTAGGTTATTTGGGGTTAAGTATGTAATCATTAGCATCTTGTAGCAGAGATGTAGCTTTAATCTAAAAGTGTTCATGTAATAACTGTAATCTTTCTCAAACTGATAAGATGGATATAGTTTTGTCAAATTAGCTGTTATCTTTAAGTTGCCAAATAAAGTCCCATAGGCTGACCATATTCTGAATCCCTAAAAAGAGGACACGACTACGCAGGGGCGGAGTCACAGAGTTAATAACAAGTGTCTTTTACATGGTTCTAGCTCAGTTAGTCTACATGACACAAACTCGAAACTTCCATACAATACCCTGGACATTTGAAGGATTTTATAAACTTCCCCAGTCAAAGCCGGACAGCCCTCCAAAAAGAGGACATGTTCGGGTAAAAGAGGACGTATGGTCACCTTAAAGTCCCAACTAAACCTACACCTGGCTGTTAGCACTTAGCATTAGCATTAGCTTTGTCCTCCAGTCAAGTATTAATGCCTCAGGGTGATAAATAAAAGTGGTGCTTATCTATTTTTGGCTGCTGTGTTAACACCAGCAGGGGGCGCTAAGTTTGCTATTACAATTGCACAAGCTAAAACCTGGTGTTTACTCATGCACTAATCCTGCTGTAGCTTAGTCATTGTAGCCTGCACCATTGTGAGCGCTACATACACATAGCCTGCAATACTCCACCAAGACACTAGGTGGCAATGTGATTTCTATGTCGGTTAGGATGTCAGTTTGTGTGTGCACAGGCAACCATGGCAACTAAATGTCAGCATATTATATTGGAGTTGGAGCGGATAAATGTTGAGCAGTAGTTGAATTTGTCGCAACTATTGCAAAGACGACAATAGAGATGGGATGTGAGTCTTTTTACATAGAACTGAGTTTCCTGTACTTGACCCTGTTTTTTAGGTTTCCGGTTTTTCTAGTTGTTCATGATTACATTTGCAATAAACCAAATTTGCAATAAGTAAAGCTGCATATTGTAGCATGTATATGCCTTTCCTCATGTGCTAGCTGCTGACCTACTACCTGCACAAACCCAGCTTTGGCCAAATGACATAGCAGATCTCCCTGTTACAGGTTTTGGTAATCCATGTAAGCATATAGAAGGGCAGGGCGCTTTCAGAACTGAACCATACAGCCAAATAGAACTAATTCTTTCAATGAAAGTAGTCCTGACTTGATGGAAGACAGCATGGAAGTGATAACCTACTGAAATCTGTGGTGAACAGGCGACAAAATGTCCCTTTCCCAACATGTACGCTGGTGCAAATCTTGTACAAGATGCTTTACTGGTGCAATAGATACTGAGCTTTACAGACAGATATAATAAAAAATTAAAAGCTGATAAAAAAAACAATCATCACAGGGGCCTGGGCACATACGATGCGTTAAACTGAAACCAGGATCTAGTATTTGTTATGGGTCATGGCTAAAAATAACCAGGTTTCTCACCGTATCCCAAATGATCTAAACGGATTAAGTGTTAAAACCAGTGTAGGCAGGATCCGAAATGTTGTAAATGCAGGAAATGTGATTCTCAGACATAACGCTCTGTGTAAGTTCAGAGAGTGCAGCGTATGTGGATCTGCTGTAGCTGTTCCCCAGGTGTCTGAAAACCCTCCACCTCTTTTCTTGTTTCTTGGTTGTACAAAAGTCAGATTGAGTCAGAAGTTCCAATATGGAGACCACCATCCATGGGCTCAACAATCCTCTGCAGAAACCAAAATCCACAGTCACTGACACCACAGCACTGTTAGATACATTGACATGTAGTTTACCACTTCTTTAGGTGATTATAACACATTTTACATTAATTTTCAGTCAGTTATTCTAAAAGAATCAACATACAGAATATATATCTTTTTATAAAATTCTAAAACTTGACTGTGGAGGTTGTCTTTTTTCTTGTTATTCATAGTTTTGGTTTTAAGCATCCTGTGACGTCATTTTGGTGTCCCTGTCCTTAAATTCAAACCCTCATAGACCACTCATGTGCTGCACGCCTGACCTCATTGAGGTCTGAGAGATTTAGTGCTGAGGCTTTAGGGTGGAGATTGGAGCTGGGCCACCTATTGTGAGCTTAAATCATTGCTGTGGGCGGAGCTTGGTAGATGTCAATCAAACAGGCACGCCAAAGTGAAAGACGAATGATCCGAGCAGCATAAAGAGCCGGTTTTGAAGCAAACTGAATAGTTATGATTTTAGTTTTCTTCTCAAACTTTTTGGATACTCTCAGTTTTGTCATTATAAACACGTTCGTGATTTTTCAAGCCACATTTTCAGAGTAACATTTGAGGATGTGTTTTTGAGTTGGTGAGTTGAGGCAGATCTCTATCACGCGTTTGATGAAAGTGAGGCTCATATTGTGTTATTTGAAAGCTGTCTGCCTCCTCTGCCCCCTCACCCCGCTGCGTCTCATCTTCCTCCCCTCACAGTGTGTTGGAGCAGAGTGCTGCAAAACAAAGGCATCTCTCTGTATCTCAGAGCCAGCAGTGATATCATGGAAAGGGCTGACAGTCAGTCAGGTGTGGGGGAGAGTCAAAGGGATTCCTGCTGTTCTCTTAAAACTCAGAATTTTTTGGGAATAGTTGTTTTTCTTCCAGCCTAAATTTATTCTGCTCACTCCACTTTAAAAATGTGTCATATAAATACTTCATTCAATCAATAATTGAACTCTGCAGAGTCTTGTCCAGCCGTCGAATTTCGAGTGAGAGAAAATCACAGAAAACAGGGAAAAGGTGGATCCCCAAAGGCTGCACAGCTGAAACTCTATGCTCTTCATTTTTCTGTTATTGCAGTATAAAAGGTAACAAATGTCCAGGGAGGAGAAGTGCAAACATTTCAGGAGCAGGGGTGTACAGGGAAGCTGGGGAATTTTTCCTCACTAAAACTGTTGTGCAGCTTTTGACCATGAAAGCAGAGCTCTCATTTCCCGCTGACTACTGTGAAAGAGGATCATAAAATTGACTCCATCTGTAATTTTATGGTCAACTTTCCAGTCACCAGCAGCACAACGGCATTCCTCCTATTAGGTTTTATTAAGATTCACTTGGAGGGATGTATTTTCAGGCATGTCTTTAAGATAAACTGAGCTTTTTGTTGGTGGTTGCTTTATAAGATTCAACATAAAAGATGGAATAAGGAGAATCAGGGCACAGGTTGAATCCGACAGTGCTTTTATTAAAACGTATTCGACTTGGCCTTGAGTTTGTCAGCTATCAAGAGGTAATTTTGCACTTTAATGATAATGATAATAATAAGCGGGCTGATTATTATTCTGCTTCTATCAAAGTTACTAAAAAAGGAAAACCTGATGCCGTCATAAGGTTTAAATGTGACTATTAAAAGGCATAAAACTGTTCGATGCAGCAGCAGTTCTGTTGCTGAAAAACCATGTGTCCTGTTTGAATGACCTAAAGCAAATGGCACAGAGTGATTCACAGCGCGTCCAACCACATTTTCCTATTTAGGGGGTGCACAGGCTCGAAAAGTTGTCTTAAGTCCTTTCATTATTCATAGGAACGTTTTGGGCGTAACATGAATCAAACCAAATTAATGTTCTCTGCTCTCATTGCTTTAAAGGGTCAGGTGCAGCAACAGACAGACACATTACTGAAATAGACTCAGCCTGAGCTGGCATGTTTGACTCCTCTCCAACCATTGTCGACCGGAAAATGCAGAAAACGCTAAAATGTCAATGCATGGATTGACTGCAAAATCATTTTAAGATTAACAGTGGTGTGATCATCTATGCAGGAGGACAAGAAAACTAAGGTCACTGCATAGGACGGCAAAGGAACGAGTGTAAAGTACTACGCCGCTGACTTCTAACTTAAGGTTTTTGTTGTTACAAGGTGCAGACACTTTCCACAACCTGAAGGTAGCCATGTGCTGTCTTTGTTGACGTTACCTTAGGAGCAAGTTCAGATGCAGATGTCACAACGTGGGCACTGACGAGGGTGTCAGTTGGAAAATAATAATCACACTTGCACTGCATGTCAAAATGTTTTGTACAAGTTGTGCAAAAGGGTAGGTGTCAACCAAGATGCTGGAGAAACAGCCCTGTTTGTACATTTTTCATGTAAAATGTTCAATTCACTTGAATGTAAGAAGTCAAAATGATTAAATCTTAGGTAGACAACTAGGTAAGTAAAGACTGCTTTGTCCACAGGGGGGGCGACAATGTTCAGATGAACAGAAAGTTCTCCACAGGAGCTTTAAATCATGTCTATCTCAAATCAGACGACTTTTTAAAAAAGAGCAACACTAAAGAGGAGGCATCGACCAAATTAAAGAAAACAGGCACAAATACCAACTGTGACATAATATGGGCTTTGGCTGAGTGAGGTGCTACAAGTGCAGCTGTTATTTTGTTGTTAATCAAACCTTAAAGTGGGCTGATGACAGTACAGTTACCATGGAATCGCCACTAGCTAATAATCTAACCTAACGTGTCTGTGTTCTTGGTTGGTAGCAGAGTTTAATGTATGGGGAGTGGAGGGTTTAGGGTTAGATTTGTGTCTGGTTCAATTTCCCATTAACACCTTCTGAATTTACTTCATCTTCATGGTAACAGCTTCCTGGAGATGCAAACTCAGGGCATGTTACTGTCTTTGATTTTGGTTTTGTGACCTGGAAGTTCACTGTTTAGGGGACCACCAGTCCATTAGGTTAGTGTGCTTAAAACTTAGGCTACAGTCCACAGAGTCAGATATCCAGCTTAGGCATTCACTGATTTATTTTGTCTGTTAAAATGGGTTTTGTTTCTAAAGTAAATGGGTTTTATTTCTAAAGTAAATGGGTTGTATTTCCAAAGTTAATGTGCACCTTCTTTAGAGGATTTCTTGCTGCCTCCATTGGGTATAGAGACTGTGATATTGCAGGTGTGAGTAATTTATCAGATGAAATTCCAGACATTTTTTATTCCAGCCTCTCTGGAGCTTTGCAGCTTTACTATCTCTTGTAATATTTTAAACTCTAGAGCAGAAAAAGAGGAGACATCTGCTTGAGCTCTCGGAAATTTTGAGGACTGGTTCCGACATGTTAAATAAACATCAACATAATTAAAAACATACAAAAGAGATCAGATGTATTACTGATATGTGATTTTTACTCACTCCGCTGTTGTGAGTGTTAAGCCTCACTGACATGATGAATTTCAGAAACAGTGAAACGTATATGGAGGTGATTAGTGTCTACATGTGTTTATTTAATGTCTCAATGTGAGAAGCATGTGTCTCAACATGACGTGTCCTCTTAGACTGGATCCAGGAGGATGTCTGAGGATGATAAGAGCGTCCAAACCCATAAAAGGATGTAAAGGTGTTTGAGTTCATGTCTGAGAGTTTGTTGTGTGTCTGCGCTCACATTCGAGTGTGCGTTTGTGTGTGTGTGTGTGTGTGTGTGTGTGTGTGTGTGTATTTGCAAGTTTCTAAGCCCGAACCTCTCCTGGGGGACTTCCGCTGCTGCTGTTATTCTTTGCAGTGAGATGGAAAGCTTTTCCCAACATCTGCACAACATATCATCATGGCAAAAGAAAAAAAAAGAAGGACTGGGGGCTGAAAAGACACTGGGCTGAAATTTTCCTTTGGAAGAAGCTTTGTATTTCATTTTATAGGACTTTTTTCCTCAACAGTACCATTAGTTGCGCTGAGGAAACCTGAAAAGTTCCCAAAATGCCATTCATTTGTTGATCAATCTTCAAACAGTAAAGGGAAAAATGTGGTGACTCACGTTGAGTCAGTACGAAAAAAGGCTTGTTAGTGAACTTGATGGCATTGCTGGGATTGTTAAAAAGTCATTCATAGTTAAGGGCAGTAAATTCGCGCAGTGCCCGGTGCTTTACATCAGACTATTAACGCGCTGTAAATGTGGTTACAGATTTCATTTGACACCTCTTCATCCAATAAAGTGTGGACTTTTATGATCCCGAATGCTGTGAGTGATACAGCTCTCCCTACTGAGTTCAGCTGTGAATGCAAAGCCACCATGACGTTACCCTGAAATGTTTTTGTCACACTTTAAGTTTGGCGTTTTTGCGGTGGCCATATTGCTTTTTTAAAATCAAAAGGGACTGTGTTTAGACTAAAGGGTGGATACATTTCTATCCTACTTGGCGTGTAACCAAGCAGCAACTTACAGAGCAGAGAAACGCAGCTAACACAGAAGTGCCAAAGAGTACAGTTTCTCAAGGGGCTACTTCAGGCATGCTCCAAAAGCAAATCAGGTCCAATATTAATGCTAAAATGGCCATTCTTATGGACAAATCAACAGCCTGTAATACACATTTTTAAAAAGCTGATTGGGATGGTAATGAGATTTGATTCATACAAATGCTAGCTGGTTGAAAATACACCCTCTGTTGGTAAGCAAAGAGAAGCAATGATAGCAGGTTTTTAGCATATTCAGCTAGCAACAGAAATGACACTAACTCAGTAAAGTTAACACACAAATCATCAATCAGTTATGAAAATACTCTGAACTTCTCTGTGTGATAGGAAAGCACCTGGATGTTTATGACTGGAAAGCTGCCGGTCTCACAAAGCCAGTGGATTTTACAGGCAGGGATGCTAGGGACACGTCCCTACCAATAATCAGCCGCTACAGTGTAGTCCCTATCAATGCGACCGCTGTCAGTAGTGTTCAATCAATAATTATGGCACACAAAGTGTTAACAGTCGGTCTCTTCTAGAAGTCCCACCTCTAACCCAAATATCGCTCTTCGGTTGGCTGCCGGTTTCTCGCTTACGTGCATGTGATTGACTGTCCCCGATGTCACTACTGCCTGTAAAAGTTACCTGCTTGTTGGACCAGACAGGAGGCAGACAGTGCATGTTATCTGCAGCCGTGAAGTGTAAGTTGTCGACATGTTTGGCACATTGTGCCTGGGTCATGTCAGCTTAAATGGATTTTAATATCAGCTATGTCATTTACATTTACATTTGAGTTTTTGTCAGTTTGCGTGTGTAGTATGGGATTTGAAGGATGTCAAAGTCGAAACTACTCCCTTGGCTGAGATGATTACTTCCTTGATTCCTGGGTTGTCTGTCACATTGAAACATTGAACATTGAAAGTGAACTGTGAGTGATGTGATGGCTTGAACTAGTCGGGACATCTAGATTTGGTTCTTGACTCCCATCCCTAGATCTGAAAGGCTCGTTTATTCAACAGTACTCACCATTTGAGAAGGAATGTCTTTTGCACCTCATCTGTTTTGATGATAGTTTGAAGAATATGAGTTCTGCAGGGATGTGGCTTCATTGACCGACCAGGAGGCTCATTGTAGTTGTCTGCCAGGAATCCAAAGTCCATTTCAGGTCCACCACTTTGCCTGTTTGACAAAACGCAAGGCTGAGTCAGCATTTCAAATATGGCAACCACCAACGTTTGGTCTTTAATCTGCAATAGAAACCAATAGGTAATGTCACTGACACTATGTCCATGGCTCAAGGTTTCTACACAGTTTGAATTTCCATACTTTTCCATACCCTACTTTTAAGAATTATTTTTGGAAATACCGACTTTTCTAGTTTCGAAAACAGTATTTTGTTTTTACTGTGGTAATAGTCTGGAAACCTGAATATTTTTCCATACTTTATTTTTCATTTACCATACTTTTTGGCCTGGAAATTGATCAAAATACTTCCACACTTTTCCATACTTGTGTAGGAACCCTGCTATGGTCTATAACCAATAAGGCTCGCAACGTGAGTAGTCCTCTGTGCTCTACAAGTTGTCTGTCCCAAAAAAAATTGGCAATTTCAGTTGTCTAGTAACACAAAAAGAATCTCAAAACCAAAACTCGTGAGGAAAATTAGTTTCAGAGGTAAAAGTTAAACAAAGGAGTGTCATTTTCCCTTGTAGTTTGGCACAATCAGTCCTCTTTTATTACCAGTAAAGAAGAAACTCCCCCTACAGGCCGTCAGGCAGAATGCAAGTTTTGGATGCTTGTAAATTGGCTTGACTTCAGAAATAGAGACTCTTTCAATTAATCGCACACAGTCCAGGGTTAAATTCAGCTCTGTTGTTTTTGTGTCTGTAAAAACATTTACACAGTAAGATCTGAACTTTACACACTGTGTTATTACTAAATCCAACATGCCAACATGTGCTGTCTTTTCTCTAACAGCTCTTAAACCCGAGCTGTCTGGCTGAAAGAGCATCCTGAGGTGTAAAAAGACGAGGCACATACAGCTTCTCATCCTCCCCCCAACTTGTTCTTTTTTCTTCTTTTTTATGGTTTGCACTCCCCCCTCTCTTTTTCCACTCACTCCCTCTGCGTTTTTCCTCATTTGCCCTGAACTACAGCAGCGCCCCCCCCCTTCACCACCTCATACAGTCTCTCTCCTCTTTCATATTGCTCATTTGTCTTCCCCTGCTTGTCTTCTTCCTCACTCTTAACCTGCTGACCCTATTCCTCCTCCCCTTGTCTTTTTATCTCTTGCTCATTCCTCCTCACGTTCTCTTCTCTTCCCCCTACCAAGTTTCCAGTCAACTCCCCCCTCTTCTTTCTCTCGCTATGACTCTTCCACTTTCCCATGACAGAAGCAGAGGCGGGAATCAAATGACCAACTTCTCTGCTTTCACCTGGTCTCAGAGCCGGAGCTGTGAAAGAAAGCTTTGTCCCCTGAACCCTTCATCGCCTCTGGAGGTATGTCCTGTGCTGTCCGTACAGGAAAGCGCTTTGGTCTGACTGGAATTTTTGGGGCCCATGGGAAAATGTGAGCGAGAAGGGCCCTAACTCTTGATTTGACATCTCCTCCCACAGATCCTGCTGCGTCATCAGGGTGGAAACCTCCCAGCAGGAATCTAAAGGGAATCCTATAGAAGCTCTCACTGACGATCTTTATGGTAACATCCAGTGGCGGACTGGCACCAAAAAGTGACAGAGGCCACATTTGTCATCTCAGTTTGTGCGAACAACGAAGAAACACAACATTACACATAAACATTACACTGCCACAGAACATAATGTAATAGCTTAACCAGAACATGATCAGTGTTGTTTTTGGCAGGCATTTTAGATTTAGTTTTAGTCTTAGTCATTTTGACGAAATGCTTCTTCGTTTTAGTCCCATTTTAGTCATTTCTATCCTTGATAGTTTTCGTCTAGTTTTAGTCCGACAAAAACTCAAAAGGTTTTAGTCTAGTTTTAGTCGACGAAAAAGTGCCTTTTGAGGTTCGTCGTGTTCTTTCCCGACAGTTTGAAGCCGCAGCATGAGGAAGCTGTGGCTCCACAACTGTCGTCTGTCTCGTCTCCCCGTCCCCGTACAAGACATTGTGTTTTATTGTCACTTGGACTGTATCTGAAGTAGGACCATAAACCATCCCTCTTTTTTCGGCCACCGGGTACCGCTGCTGTGCCTGCCGCCACGGTGTGTGTTTGCGCGCGCCTCGTCCACCTGCCGCTCTGTGTATGTGTATGAGTGTGTGCGCGCAGCTGTGCGCGAGCGAGGCTTTTGGTGCGTGTGTGATGGGGGCGTGAGTGTTAGGACAAAAAAAAAGCATGTGTTGAAACTTTGTTCGTCCACCTAATAACAAGTTAGTCTCGTCTCGTTCTCGTCTGACGAAAATGAATATAATTTTCGTCACATTTTAGTCTTTACAGAGCTTTGGTGACGTTCGTCTTAGACTCATTTTCGTCAAGGAAAAAAGGGGTCTGACGTCGTCATTTAAGTTTTCGTCCTGCCTGACGAAAACAACACTGAACATGATAAATAAACGTTTTACCTTTATGTAGTTACAGTAGCAGGTTGCGCAATAATTTGCTTTTTTCTGCCACTCTATCAATCATATCATCCAAATCACACCGGGCTCGTTCCCAGGCACAGGCTTTTTGAGAATAACTCCACAATATTTGCGCTTTTCCCACTTTCAGCCAATAAAGCCTTACACTTCTTCTCTCTCCTTTTTTTCTGCTCCGCCCTTTTCTACTCGCCGTTTTCTCACTCCTCGATCCATTTTGTTTCATCCCATGTTGTTGACCTCCTCACACTACCCATCATTCCATTGACATTTGATCATCTTATCAGGTCAATGATTTCGAGAAAATCCACTGACAGCCAAAAAACATCCCAAAAACGTTATCGGTTTGCGTTCGCCTATTGACACAGCCGCTCCACTTTATTTAGATATTTATAGAGCCCATTTATTCATTTCTCTGTGATGCAGTTCCGAGCAGTGATGAGTGGTGAGCGAGCCACCTTGCGACTGCATCATCAGGCGGCCACAGTGGCATTTGCCCACATTGCCCAATGGCCAGTCCGTCCCTGGTAACATCACCGCAAAAGTGACAGCGTGGAAAGTAATTCAACAAAGGAGGTTATTTAGAGTCATGGACTAACAGTGAAATGTCTCCAAACTCTGCAGAAACTGTCTGAGTCTTCATCATCTGAGCCCTTGCCTTCTTCTCGGGAGTAACATATTGAACATGTTGCACGGGATCCTGCTGCTGAAAATCACACACTGCATCTTTAAAGTGGGACATTTGTGTTGCAACTTGCCTCTGCTGCTCCCAAGAGGCCAAAAAACTTTCATTCACTATTTCAACCGACTCTGAAATTTATTTACCTGACAAAGAAAACCGATAAATAAACTGGTTAAATGTTGTTTTGACTGGAAATAGAATAAAACAGAACCCCACATGAAGGCGTCAGCTGTATGATTTAATACTGCTAAATGTTTGGACAGAGATGTTTGGGGAGGAGGGACTTTCTCACTGCTGCTGTGAAAAGGGCATCACAACCTATTAAAAAATCCCCACACTGTAAAACAAGATCTTTATCCCTTTAGTCCTTATGTGTCAGCGCTCCCAGGCGACACAGCGATGAGTTATCAGAGTCTTTTTTCCAGCACAAACGTGTCGGGGCCCTTTCACTCCTACATGCCCGTGACCCACACACTCACTGAGGGGAGTGACCCGGAACGAAACCAAGTAAGGCAGGTCAGATGTCCATTTGACACAATCCCCACAGGGGGGCTGAGGAGGGGGTGGGGCAGGAGCTGGGTCAGATAGTGAGCAGGTGGGATGAGGCACACCAGGCTTTATTTAGACAAACCTACAGTCAGTCCAGCTGTTGCTGCCCTATTTTTTTTAAATGATCCTTGAGCAGTTTCACCAGAAATGACAGTTTTGTATCATCTTAATTTTAAGCAATGAGACATATAAAAGATGTTTAAAGAGACATTAATCCAAACCCCCATTTAATTAATACCAAATTCATTTAGCTCACATCATAAATATATGTATTTCTTTCCAAGTTTTAACTCCTTTTCACTCTAAATGGAGGTCTGATTTGTTTTTATAGGAAATGAGATAAACATAAATGATGCACAGTATAAATTTACAGTCTTTCATATGAGGCAGTTTCTTTTTAAAACCATTGGGGGAGCTATTGTTTTATGAAAGCACATCCCTTCATGACCACTGTGGCATGCTGCAGCTGCACAGACTCACATTTTCACTCACAGCAGAATAACACTGTCGTTACAAGATCATGAGCCGCTGCAAGATGTGACTTCACACTCTTTCCAAGTTACCCTCATTTTAACACATGTGTTTTGCTGTCAGGGGATTTATATAGAAAATAAGCTGCTGTTCAGATTTCCTTTGATTTTCTGACTTAGAAACCTGAAAAGCAGAGACAGAATTTCTACAGTTTAAAACTATGGATTAAAGGCACCATAGGGAGTTTTTAACTGGTTTAGAAAGAGATTGAAACTGATACTGATGCTTCTTTGTGACCCTCAAAAGCAAAAAAACCCTCAGCAACAAGACTTATTATTTCACGTACTTTATTTAAGTACTTTTAAATATTTAAAAACGCTGTTAGGGGTTGGTGCTAGGCAATGTGAGTGAGAGCAGGCTGAAAAAATAAGACTTTTTAGACTTTTTCCACAACAAATATTCATGGTGAGTGATAAAGTTTATTGTGAAAAGACAACAGGATGAGGTTTTTGCCTGAAAACATCTCTTTCACGTGTACAGGGGGTAGCACTTTGTCCACAGGGGGCATAAAAATCAACAAAAACAAAAGTTCCTCACTGCAGCTTTACGTAAATACTGTAAAGAAAAAGCGCCACATATTAATCTGATTAAATATTTTTTGTGATCAATTTTTTATTTTGTTTTATTTCATTACATTGCAATTTATCCACATCCCTTGCCCCCACTCTTGTCTTGGGGGTAACATTAAATTTGGACGATTAAAGGGAAGAAAAGAATAAATTAAATTAAATTGAATTAAATATAGAGTACTATCGACAGTACATAGCAAACATATTCATGAGATAAATGGATAAAATGAAAAAAAAAGGGATAAAATAAGCTGATTAAATATTGTTAGTTTGAAGGGGGTTTTTTTGTAGCCATCATGGTTAAAAAAAATTAAAATAAAAAATGAATGTTGGAGTTTCTGATTTTACATCACCCTGAGTCGAGAACCGTTTAACCAATCAGTGACAGCGCTATGTAAAAGTATGAGTATTAGTCCTGAATTTGCATTTATATTAGGTTTAAGCTAATGGCAGAAGCACAATGTTCTTAAACAAAGCTTAAAAAGTACTTTCTCTGTTATATATATATGATTTATGATTTATTACCATGTGAACAAAACTTTAATGTTAGCAAGATAAGCTGGTTTTAAAGCTTTCTGTATGTTCAGATAGTTTCATATAGAAAAATGCAGATGTCATAGAGTACACAATTATAGTTAATCAAAGCATAATTGATGTTGAAGTAAATGCACAACTCATGATGAATTGCTGTTTGAGTTCTGGGCTGCGCCATTAACTCCTGTTGCTCATCATGGACAAGTTTTTATGACTTCAGATAATGAATGTTTAATCTATCACAAGTTAAGGTATTTTCATGAAGAGTTACTTCCTTCATAAGTTCACACATGACCGAATAATCTGAACAATTCTCACTACAACTCATTGATAAACATTGTTTTATATATGATATTAATGAATTAAAATGATAAAGATGAAATGGGAATATAAACAGGAATAAATGTAATCTAATTAGAGTGGAAATCCTCTCATCAATGTTACAAAGATCAGACATTCATGATTTCTTTAAATGATCACATGTATTACTTACTCTTAATGTTTGCTGTGGCAAAAATAGAGAAAGGCTGTTTCTTTGGCATGTGATCAAACACCATCATGAGATCATGATGTTAAGATATCATGATCTCATTTGTATTCATAGGTCATTAAAAGCATCACTGTTAATTTCACTTCATTTCGTAACTTGTCAAAAACTTCACACTGGGGCTTTAAGGGAGGAGAAATCAGACCAACGGGGATTTCAGACACATCCGCACATTTTTCAGTCATTACTAACCCTCCATCTGGAAGATTTTGAGGCCTAAGAGCATTTTAATTACATAACCCAGCAGAATTTTGTAATCTGAACGTGTGTGTCATTCTTCATAGCTGACCCAGTCTCTGTCAGACTTTCGCAAATAACATGTTGAGGTTATTTTCTTGCACAGAAACAGCTTCTGTTGAGTGTTTTAAGTCATTTCAAGAACAAACTAATAGATGCATCTGTTTGCTGGCAGCTTGACCTTTCACCCATGGTTACTGTTTGGAGCCTCACATGGGAAATTCTGGTGTTTTGTCAGGACCACTTTTGGGAACTTGTTTTACATAACATGTTTGACCTCCTATCCCCTCATGCGGGCACTTATCTTTTGGTTGTTTTTTCCCCCGTTGAAGAGTGGATAACAACACCAAAAAGTTATACAATGACAAAGTATATTTCTTAGCTTATCTCTAATGAAGAAACTAAGACTGAGAAGACTAATCAGATGTCAGACATCTAATTGAGCAACATGTCAGGTCATATCAAACATAGCCACTCACATGTTTGATTGGACATAAATTAACCCATTATTAACTCAATACTAACTCGAGATACTCTCCAACAAACATTACTAATTCCTCTACAAACCCTTTTACGTCATTTTCCACTCTCACTTTCTTTATTTACTTTGCTCAGGGTACATCCAAATCAAAGTTTTGTAACTCAGGGTTAGACCAAACAGGCTGTTACAACACCACTCAGTTAGTGAACAACCACTAAAGCCGGAGGGACCCAAGTTGCTGGGATCAGGTTTGTAAAAGCTGTAAAATTTCAGCTTTAAAATAATTAAAGTAGGCTTACAAATGATCTGAAGGTTGTGTTTATATGGGATTCAGTTTGTTTGTGTTTTCTTCTAAATGGGATAAGATGAAGTGCAACTGTGAGATAAGAAACAAAGAAAAGGCATTAGTCTCAGTGGCACACTTCCAGTATCTTGCCCAAATGTTTAAATAACTGATATGATGCAAACCACATATTTCTCTGTTTCCAACATGCATCAAGTCTATTTTTGCCTCTCCTAGTTTTGAAACAAAGTAAGAAGTCGTGAGAAAGAAGCACCTGTGTAGCCCTCAGAGCTGGTCTCTCATTGGTCAAGCAGGCAGAGAAAAGGAGTATAAATACCTGGGCTTTAGCAGCAGATGAGTGTGGTTTTCTCTCTCATTCAGGGAAAGCATGAAGTGGTTCATTCTGGTGGCCCTGTTCGGGCTCAGCTTCGCCCAGCACAACCCCAACACCAAGCACGGCAGGACGGCCATCGTGCACCTGTTTGAGTGGCGCTGGGCCGACATCGCTGCAGAGTGTGAGCGCTTCTTGGGTCCCAATGGCTATGGTGGTGTTCAGGTATGTACGGCTGCAAACAGGTGGGTAGATTCAGAGTCTAGAGATGAACGATTATCCATGAGTTTTTCTTTCGTAAGATTTGTTTTCCAAAATTAAGGCAGGTGACAAAAAGCAGTAAAAAATAACTCACTTTTGGATCCCAGTCCACCTGCTTAGAGCCAATGCTCAAGGTGATTCTCCAAGGTCAAGTTGGGATCCAACGGTGCGGTTTTAGACACTGAGAGAGGGGGATTTGATTCCCCTTTTAAAGACAAATGAGCAACTTTATCATTTTAATGCATTATTATTATGATACAAACTAAAAATAATTATCTGTCATTAGTTTTCTGCTTGTCTTCGAAGCCACACGACTTCTGAGGTGATCATGACGGATTAACAACAGTGTTAGTCACAGCTGATTCGTTTCCAGCAGCACAGCACATGCAGTGACTTGGCTGATTTTCTGCAGAGCAACTAAATCATGGATCTCAGGCTATTAGCCAGGATGTGACTCAGAAGCACACAGAAATCATCCGTGTTTCTTTTTAAAAACTGCATTAACTGTTAGGACTACAGTCTATACATTCAGACCACTAAATTACCTTAAAAGATAGTATGTCTGTTTGGTTATTTGATGTTAGTGCTTGTGCGCAGCTGTGAGCAATGTTAAACCACCTCCAGGGACAGCAGGGAAATTTTAGTGACCCTTGCCCTAAACTGTAGAGCACCTTAAGAAGCTCAAAAAAGGATCACGGATATAACATTTTGAATGATAAACAGAGATATTCACTTTTATTTGAATTAAAAATGTGTTTTCTTTTTGCTTTGAGTGGATTTAATTAGATATTTCTGTTTCTTAGTAAAATAAGTTCACTTCAGAACCATTACTGAGACAAAAATACAGCATTTTTATAGGTGGGGAGGTGATAAAATTGCAAAGTAGGTTAAAAAATGTCACCTTGTAAAATATAAAACTACAATATCTCGGCTATTTAAAACCCCTGTCAGGACTTTTGACGAAAAAACCTCACTCTGCTGCCTTTAACACCTAAATGTACAATTTATTGTTAGTAATTTATGTAAATATAGTAAAAACAGGGCTGTGGGCTCACACCTACCCCCTCATGTCAGTTTGAGGCATGAAATTTTACAGTATAAAAAAAATGCCAGTCTTATTGCTAATGATCAAGCTTGCTTTTCTATATCATTAAAAAGCACCAATCTATTCTTTTTTACCCCTTTTGTATTTGTATTTTTTATTTATTTATTTATTTTCTCATTATTACTTTCATTACTGCCATATGTTTAATGTGGTTGCTGTTGTTTGAACACAAAAAAACAATAAAGATATGTTTAAAAAAAAAAAAAAAAAAGCACCAATCTGATTTTCAGTCTGTTAACGAGGAAAAAGTCATCACAGGAGCTTTAAAGGGTTCAAATGTTTCTGTTATTAAACATCTTTTCATATTCATGCATTTGGCTCTTCCCTTAAGCATGTTGGCGGACTAACAAGTTTTAATGATGATTGAAGTTCTAAATTCAACTTAAAATACAGTCAACACACGTTTTTTTTAACATCCATCCTCCGCCTGCAGACTGTTTCTCTCATAAACGAATACTTACTGTAATGTCCTCTTTGGTTTTGACCAGATCTCTCCTCCCAATGAGCACATTATCATCAACAACCCCTGGAGGCCCTGGTGGCAGAGATACCAGCCAATCGGCTACAACCTTTGCTCCAGATCTGGCAATGAGAACGAGCTGAGAGACATGATCACCAGATGCAACAACGTCGGGGTAAATTACATCCCAACAGTCATGTAGTGAGATTCATTTGGAACAATATTCCTCCAAGTGTGACAGCAGCTCGTAAATCTACAGCTTTGTACAAGACAACAAATTGTTGCCAGAGAGATCACAGAAGACTTCATGCATTATTTCGAATAGTTTTCTAATAACGAGCAGCTGGCATTTCAAAATGAGAGGCATTTCTGAACAAAAGACAACAATGTTATTAGGTTACGTCTTTGTCTTGAGGACATATCAATCATACTTGGACTTGCAGACATGCAGCAGCTGCTTTGGTTCATGGATTAGAGGCATGACAGTAAACAGAATGACCACCGCAGCTTTGACCGGAGGATGAACCGAATGTGCTTTTTTAAAAAAAAGTGTTAAAGTGGAGGCAGAAGAGAGGTGTTGATTAGCTGTGTTTGCACCTTCAGCCCTGTGTCTACCCCCGCAGGTCAACATCTATGTGGACGCTGTCGTCAACCACATGTGCGGTGCCGGAGGTGGAGAGGGAACCCACTCCTCCTGTGGAAGCTGGTTCAACGCTAACAACAAGGACTTCCCCACCATCCCCTTCACCCACTGGGACTTCAATGACCACAAATGCAGAACCGGCAGCGGCAATATTGAGAATTATGGAGATTCCAACCAGGTTATTTGAAATTGAAACTAGGATTTAGTCAAGTGCTGGGCTTTAAGGACAAAAACTGTGATAACCTGTGTGTTTGCCACTCCAGGTTCGCGATTGTCGTTTGGTGGGTCTGCTGGACCTCGCACTGGAGAAAGAATATGTCAGGGGCAAGGTTGCTGACTTCATGAACAAGCTGATTGACATGGGTGTGGCTGGATTCAGAGTGGACGCCTGCAAGCACATGTGGCCCGGTGACCTGGCTGCTGTCTACGGCCGTCTGCACAACCTCAACACCCGCTGGTTCCCTGGTGGCTCCAGACCCTTCATTTTCCAGGAGGTGAGAGTCGTGACGTCCAATGTGAAATATCTCATGGTGATACCAAAATCAGAGGAAAACATATCACTCAAACTCCTGTTAAATAATTTTGCAGGGGTAAAACATATACTGTGAAAAATGAGGGTTTGATTCTCCATTTTCTGGCCTCAACTGGACGTAATTTTCAACAAAAATGCATCAAGAAAACACAAAATGATTCCAGTAACTAGTTTGCATTCAAATCTACATCTGAGCCTCCTTGCGGAAATATAAATGCAAGCAGCCGATTGGTGCAAAACCCTACGCCTACTTGACAAATATTTATCGCAGATAGCACATGACAGCAGTCAACAGCGCCATGGGAAAACGGGCGCAGGAATCCAGATGAGAAACACAAACATGTGCACACTGGGAGCAGATGTCAAAAAGATATCGCCAGTACGGTTATAAATACTGTAGAAGTAACACTGACACTATGATATAAAGTAAAAAGATAAAGCCAAGAGTTGTAATTCAAAATCGACAGAGGTTTTCAGCAGCAAAAACAGTCTGTAACCTCAAAAATAAATGTGCTCTGTCTTCACAAACAACATGACAGCAGAAATATGGCTCTTGTTAGCGCTGCACAAAAAAACTAAATCTGTTAAATTACTTCTGTCTCTTCACAAATCATTACCATGGTGCAGTAATCTAAACCTTAAACTGCTTCGAATTGTTCAGTTGATGTGAGTTCAGATGCGAGTTTGCTTTATTTCCAGGTTATTGATCTGGGAGGTGAGCCCATCACATCCGGACAATACACCCATCTGGGAAGGGTGACCGAGTTCAAATATGGTGCCAAACTGGGAACTGTTTTCAGAAAGTGGAATGGAGAGAAACTGTCTTACACCAAGTATGTGTTTTTTTCTCTGCTAGGGGGCTTTCATCTCATAAAAAATGGATTGTAAATTATCATTGACAAGATTTTAAATACTTGAGGTAATACTTGGTCGTCTTAATTCTTTCCTTGCGTGCAGGTCCTGGGGAGAGGGATGGGGTTTCATGGCTGACGGCAATGCTCTCGTCTTCGTCGACAACCACGACAACCAGAGAGGCCACGGTGCTGGTGGCGCCTCCATCGTTACCTTCTGGGACTCCAGGCTTTACAAGATGGCCGTCGGCTACATGTTGGCTCATCCTTACGGATTCCCCAGGGTGATGTCTAGCTTCCGCTGGGACCGCCACTTTGTCAACGGAAAGGTAAATTCTTGTTTGAATTGAACACATCTGGAAGTACTTTTTTCTTCGACTCACTCACACTTCTTTATATCATAGGATCAGAATGACTGGATGGGCCCTCCTAGCCACGGAGATGGATCCACCAAGTCTGTTCCCATCAACGCTGACCAGACTTGTGGAGATGGATGGGTGTGTGAGCACAGATGGCGTCAGATCAAGTGAGTCACTCAGAAACCAACAGACGATGACATTACTCTCCTAAAAACAGAACATGGTACACTTCTGCTTCTACTTCTGCTATCACACACTAAATTTTGATTTTTAAATGTTTCAGGAACATGGTTGTCTTCCGTAATGTCGTCAGCGGCCAGCCTCACGCCAACTGGTGGGACAACCAGAGCAACCAGGTCGCCTTTGGACGTGGCAACCGTGGTTTCATTATCTTCAACAATGATGACTGGTAGGAACCACAAATTTTTCTTATTTCAGCTCTAAATGGAAAACTAAGACAACTTGAGATATAAAACTGACAAAAACTTGCATGAGCAACTCACCAGTAACAACAAGTCTACAGATTTTTTGGGGTTATAACTACGAACAAATCTGTGTCAGTGTGTCAGTGCAGAAATAGTATTTACCTTGTCTTCCCCCTCAGGGATTTGGATGTGACTCTGAACACCGGCATGCCTGGTGGCACCTACTGTGACGTCATTTCCGGTCAGAAGGAAGGAAGCAGGTGCACCGGCAAGCAGATCAATGTTGGCGGTGATGGCCGTGCCCACTTCAGGATCAGCAACAGAGATGAGGACCCCTTCGTTGCTATCCACGCTGAGTCCAAGTTGTAAACACATCCTGTAAAACTTTAAATAAACTCTAATATAACCAACTTTAATGATGAAGCTGTTTTTATTCTAATATAATGATATATTGGTCTTTCAACATTTTTTGATAACTTTAAATGAAGGCTGTCATAATAATCACGGTCAGTCACTGTCTCTTTAAAGTGGTGATATGGTGCATACAGCATCTACAGATCATAGCAGTAGTTCTTTGCGCTGGTTGCCACACGTCTTTTACAGTAAATGTAATACAATACAAGAACTTTATCTATCCCCAAATGGAAATCCATTTGTCTAAAATCTCAGATAAACTGCAGATAAACCAAGTGTTGATCTGACCTACCCAGTGGTGCTAAAGCAGTAGCTCTGTAAGCTTCTTTGACATTAACATACAGCAGATCCAGGGTTTTGTTTTCTCTGGTAGGACAGTTCACAACTGTCAGGTGAGAGGAGAGGGTGGCATGGTTGTAGTCTCCTGATATTATTATAAGTGCCTCAGGATGTTGAGTCTGTGTCCTAGCAACAGTGTCATGGAGAACATTACACAGAACTTCAGCCGTTGCCTTGGGTAGATTGTATACAAGTATTGTCAAGATGTACTTGAACTTCCTTGAAACATATCATGGCTGATATATGCTAGCCACAATATGCTAACCACCAGATTTCATCTTGCTAGCTAGCTAGGCGAAGAAGAAGAAGCAGACTGCTAGTGAGCTAGCTCTATAAGCCCTTTGAGAAATGATTAACACTTCTAAACTGATTATTCAAGATTGGTTGATGTGTACTTAATTATAATATCATTTATGGAGTTAATAAGTTTTGGTTATTTACTCTAACATCGAGGATTCAGAGTAAACAGCACTTCCCGCTTAGGTATAAAAGTCCCTTTTTGTATTTGATGCATATACAAAGAGGAAAAAGTTCAACTCAAAACCCTCACATAATGACTTAGTTATTCTTTTTGAGTTGTGTTTGCTCTTTTTAAAGCAGCTGTCATGTGTGAGAGAAAATTCATAATATGCAGAGTGATTTCAAACAAATATACAGTACGTGAACCATCCTTATGCTGGAAAAAAACGTCCATCTGTCAGTTCGGTGTGGTCCAATCAGGCAGAGAAAGCTAGAGGGTGTAAAATTCCATTATCTGTTCAACAAGAAGAGTTTCTTTAACTTTAGCGTTTCTAAAGCCCTTGCAGTGACCGCTGCTCAGCTGCCACAAGAGGTTACTCAGTATGTAAAAGGCTAATAGGCTGTCAGAAACTTTGAACACTGGAGGCCAGAATTCAATGACTTACTGCGTAAACTCTAATAGCCCGACAGCCAGAAATGTAATTTATTTCTAAACTGATGAACCTCAGTTGGAGTCAGACTTGAATTAAATTGAAACAAAAGTGTTCTGTTTGACACGATCTTGAATCATTTATAATAACAGTTAATTACTGTTTACTCTGCCCTATAGCTGCTGATGCTATACCTGTCAGCTTTATTGTTCTTGCTTATAACAAATGCAACAAAGACTGTGGCTGATTATTAACTATAGTTGACACATGATCCCTTTTAGTAATTGATATGTTGGCTAGAACTACAGTAAATCCCTGTAAAGCAGGTGTGCAATCCTAGCATCCACAAGGCTAACACTGGCTGAAGCAAACGAGACCAACAGAGACAAGATTGACAGTTTGTATATTGTCTTTTTTACCTCTTGAAACTGGTGTTAGGGTTCGGTGACAGCTGAGCAGCTGAAGAAGCATCTGTCTGTACAATTTCCATGTAAATTGGGAATCATATAAAAGAGGAGAGAGGAGGAGACAACAGAAATACAGAGATAATAACCACAGGTGGAGAAAGAAAAGTTCTACGATCTTAATAGTTACTTATCAACTGTTACCTGTAATGCTTCAATTCTGTGTGAGTATAGCAGCAATTCTGTGCAAGATGCAGCCTTGAATAAGAATAAAATGTTGTAATCAGGTCTTTTTCATGCATAGGATCTTAAAGTTTAAGTTTCCAGACATCAGCATGGTCAGCGACTGTCCTGAACAGGACCTGTGATGTCTGCAAATGTCCTTCCTGCATTCTGTTTTCTCCTCCTCCACTGGGACGACTCTGTGCCATCACACTGCAGCCACTTCAGTTTCACCTGAGTGCAGCGCTGGCATCCGTCATTAGGGCAGCGCTGGGACCCAGAGGGCCAACCAGCCAAATCTCCATCCTTACTTCCTTCCACCTTCCTTCCCTCTCCTCTCTTTCTCTCTCTTCCTGTCTCGTCACCCTTGCTTCCTTCCTCCCCGCATGTGTCCACCTCCCTGGCCCACCTACCGAGCCCCCATCAGCAGCTCTAGACCGGTGACACTGGATTGCCGGCATCTAGAGGTGAGAAAGGGAAGGTGATGCCTGACAGAACATTTCAGCTCATCTTGGTTGTCATAGCAACATGGGCCACGAGCGAAGAACCTGGGAAATTTCTTGAACCGCTCCCTGAAAGACAAGACATGGCCATGATTGAAAAGGAGTCTTTATTTACTGAGCAGGACGGGCACAATTGATGTTTTGTAATCAGGTAAAAAAGCAGTGATCAATTCAATCAAATATCTTCTGGATTAATTGTGTCTGAGGCGAATATTTATTGCTGTAAAGTTAAATATCTTGATGTAAATAAACCTGTTCTGAAGTATATCTCCATGGTTGCTTTTCTGCTTGGATAACTGCTGTAACTCCAGCGTTTTCCAGTTTGGGATCAATAGAGAGCGTCCATCCATCTATCCATCCATGCATCTGGAATAGTATGGTCACACAGCTCACCTCTGAAGCCATAGTATGCATGCAGCATGATGATATACATTGACCAAACGTGCAAAAATGTGAAAGTCAGAGTGAAAGAGAGTGCAGGAGGAGGACAGAAGGAGACCTTAACATTGGCTTGGCCTCAACATATTGCAGCTGTTAAATTATTGACCCTCTCTCCATCTCTTGGTCCGGCAGCTGTGGAGGGGCCTGTACCTTCCGATTAGCCGCAGAGATGTCAGGGTAGCAGACCGGGGTCTTTGGTCCTGTCATCCTCACTGATGCTTTGTGACATGGCTGTCAGCGGTGTCCCCATCCTGTTTCATATTTCATACGGTGCACCAGACCTGCCTGTCACATCAGCCGAGGAGAGAGACAGTCATCAGCTTAAAGACGAAGCGGCTGAGTTTTTGGGGGATCTGGTCTGCTGTCTCTTGCTGCTCTGGGGGAAGTGAAAAGACAGTGGAGGTGAAGCTCATGCTGTGGATTATCTCTTGCATCACTGACTGAAATACAGTAAATTGCAGATGCTTTTATTTTGAAGGGACCGTTCTCCCAAATACGGACTAAAACTTTGCTTAAAGCTGCTTGTGAACTGATTTTTTGTTGGAGTTATCATGAGCTCAATGTTGTCTCCCAGCTATAATGCACCCGGGTAATTTTCTGCTTTGTATCACATGGGGGCAGTATTGATGCAAGAACTATGAGCATAAGCTTCCTCTCAAACGGCCATGAAACATTTTGCTCTTTGTGAAATTTATTGCAAAACTGCTTGAAATTCAGCACATGATTTTGGAGACGCTAAAAGAATTCGTGATTGATGTTTAATTCCAAGAATCAAGCATGAATTATATATATCGTCAATGGAGGAATAAAAGAGGTGAATGATGAATGACTGTTTTGCTCATACAAACTTAATTCATGCAAAAGTGCCTCATGTTTGCCTGTCAGTGCTTCAACCAGCCGATACACATGCTGCCTTCACTGTCCATTGATATAAGCGCTGGTGTGTTTATTTGCATAATATTAACATTGAATTTTTTTCTTTCCAATCAGTCAGAGAATGAACTCAGAGCAGGGAGGTATTGATCCGGAGCTCTTGACAGAATCTTTATGAATTTTCTGGTCACTGGCAGGTCCTCTCAAGCTCCCAGTGTCCTCACCCTATAGCTGTCACATAACATCGCCGTGTAGGGACACTGTCGCCATGGCAACAACTGATGGCAAAGCTGCGAATGGGCCATCTTTGAAAACTTTAAAAAGGTGATGCAGGTGAATTGAGAGTGACTATTTCACATTTAGACCATGGCTGATCTGCCTCTTCTGAAAAGTTCTAGATATTTGGAAAAAAGAGCGATAATTACATGCAAAATAAAATCCCCATTTTTTAAAACTTTTCCTCTTTTTTTGGCTTTTGTGTCTTTACAGCTCATGATTTCTTCCCCTGCTTTTCGACATTGTTTGTATTGTATTTTTTAACAATGTTGTGATGGTGTTTTTCATGCTGTGCTTTTGGCAAGGTCTCCCTAAAAAAAGTGTTTAATCTAAATGAAAACTTTGCTGAGTTGTAGTTGGGATGTAAAAATAAGAAATAACGAGCCAAAGGAATCCTGGCATTGTTCGGTAATCATCTGCACATCCATCTGCAAACTGTACGCTTAATATTAAGAGTCTCTGCAGATACTGTTGTATAGTAGTAACAACACAAAGTGAAACTTCATAGCAGTTTCACTACAGCTGGATGTTATTGTTCTTAAAGGTACAGCGAACATTATTTAAGGGCATTGAGCAGAGCTTGTAGAAACGGAGGAGTTATAAATTTGAAAACAGTAAAAACGTAAATGTAAAAATGTTATTTCCAAAAAATTTTCAAAAACATAGACAAAGAAGAAAAAGAGTGGTTGTGATTGCGCACAAAAGACTTCGTACTTGATTGTAAAAACTTGACAAACAGGATCAAACGTCACATAACTGCTCATAAATTTGGACCCCATGACAGACCAGCTGGATCCCAACACCACAGCCCAGGTCAATCTCGCACAGTCATGATGGTTTTAAAAGTATTACAACACCAGTGAAATCATAGAAATCTGCTGAATCTGTTATTATCAAACAGGCTCGGCTAGTTCACAGGGAAAAAAAGCTAAATATTACTACTGAAGTGGACAGAATTTACTATGAGGTGTCTGACATGAGCTTACATCCTTCTGGGAGTGACGTGCTGCTTCAGCATCATTAGTCTGGATTGATTGACAGCAGTCAGATCAATTCTGTCAACTTGGACTAAACCATTTTGCAGATCAAAGAGGGGTGAGAGGAAATTCTAAGAGACATACCCCATATTTTTTTCCAGCCAAAGAGTCAAGTATTTTGTCCATTTGTTCTGCTTGTCTTGGTTAAAATATAACGCAAATATAAAGTATATTCAATCTCAAGATGACACCAGGGCTCCTTCTGCTGTTTGGGCTCTAGGAAGTCAGTCCCAAGAAGGGGTGAGCAAGGGAGCGCTTCAGTCTAGAATCTTATTTTACTGAATATTCAGATTCTTAAAAACTTCACCCTTAAAGTTTTCAGGAGTCTGTACTGACCTTGACTTGGACTCTGAGCCCATAAACATTGATTAAAAATAATGTCTGTCTATTTCTTTGCCTTACATTTTAAAATATTTAGACTTGTTGCATTTAAAGAAAAAATATAATTGATTATATAAATTTATTACAGTTTGTTTTGAGGACAATAAATGTCAGGCATGGTCTAAGTGACCATATTAGACAATTAGACAAAATAAATTCAGAAGAGCTGAAAACTCAACCAAAAAGAAGACAAGTTTTTGTCTGTGATTATGTCTGTGATTGACAGGGTAAATTGCCTTGTGTACATAATGTTTAATGCATTTTTAGTTTATTCAATTTTAAAATATTAAAGTGTAATTGTTTAAAAAATTTGAAGCCAAATAAGAGCAGAGAGACTTCACCTCCCAGGGACCCCTTTCTGGTTTAATGCCACAAGTCCAGTGCAAACTTTTTCCCTTTTACTTCCAGAGAGAGGTTAAATCAGTTCTTAACACTTCCCTCTGAAATATTTTTGGTAAATTTCTTACTCTACCTGAGTAAAATGACATGCTTTTGCCACCTACATACTATTACATGAACTTATTATGTGGAGGTATGTAATTCAGCAGAATTAATGGAAGCAGACAACTGTAACAATCACACTTCCTATTGAAATTGTATGAAAGAAAAGGAAAATAGGATGAAATTATGTTGATACACGAGCTTGTTGGTCTGTGTCACAGTTACCCTTTTCCACCATGTCTGCTGTCCTTGCACTGAGCTTATTCATACCCCCCACCTACAGATTATACAGCTGCACACAGAGCAACGTGAAGGTTGGCCTTTTGTGTCCTCATACATTTCTCTGCTTTAGTCTTTAATGATATCGTTGCCAGGCTAAGTCATCTTTTAAAGCTGACACCCCACAGGGTGGCCACCATTTAGTCTACGGCGTGCAGGAGTGCGCGCACATGTGTGTGCCGTTTGCACCCCAGGCATCCCTAAATGTAGGGAATGACAAGCCCTGCTCAGCCTTGGATCTCACAACCAGACTGTAATATGAGGCTAAAATACCGCTCTGTGAAACAGGCGCTCGGTGCAACTTTGAAATAATTGAGACAAACTCATTCAGTCTCGGCTCATTTAATATAATGAGCAAAGTGAGCTGTTCAATTTGCATACTGATAAGATGCCTCCATCAGGATCGGCAGCCCCCCTCTCACAGATATTCACTGTGGATATTACATTTAATCAGAGCATGGATTTATTTCACAAACACACTCAGAGAAGTGCAAACTAAGGCTTTCAATTAGTCCACTGTCAGGTCTTAATCACCTCTAAGGCAAATTGGGCAGCAGGTCAACAGTTTCCTGAGTCATGCTGCCAATAAAAGTTGCTAAATACGGGCTTTAACTCAGATCGAAAAGAAACACAGGGCACATTTGGTGTTTGGAAATCTGTCCCAAAAAAGAAATCCTGCCTATTTCAGCAGCATTTATATTTCATGTGTTGGCTTTGGGCTCTTATGTGATGACCTCTTTCAGCTGTCGCCCTTGTGCTTTCTCTATTGATCCCTGTTATTGCTGTGGAAGTCCCCTGCTGCTTGTGTTTGCTCCCTTACATTCTCTCCCCTCTATTCCAGCCCAGACTCCAATAGCACAGGCGCTCTGCTCGGCTGTTTGTATTGCACATGGTGGTATAGCTCGAAACCAAAACAGCGAGAGCAGCAGTGGTGGCTGGTCGAAATCATATGTTTGTGCACTGCCTCTGAGCACTACTGGAGGAACTGGACCAGGGACACAGCCCACACGGCCTGGTTCCAGAGCCCACAGGCCTGTGGAGTAAGACTCTGTGAAAGGGAGCAGATGGTTACATGAATAGTGCAGCAGGTCCCGTCCACCCCCGCCCATTGCCTTGCGTGCAGCACATTACCTCAACAAACGCCTCTCATAATTGATGTGGTGGAATGGCCCCATCATCACTGGGTTTTGCAGAGTGGCAGAATCATGAAGGTCATTACTGCGACACTGACATACTTCATGTAATGTAATGAAGGAAGACAGCAGAGACTTTCCAAGAGGATTGGACTTCCTCAAACTTCTGGGAACTAGTCACTCACATCAGATTTGTGTCTATGTCTGCAGCACAGGTGAGGAAAGGTGAGTTTTTTATTGCTTATCTGACAAAGCATAAGCAGAGCCTCCTTATTAGAGCCGCATTTTGGTGCCATATACACAGCTCGTATTATTACTTTCTCTGTGAGCGACTCAGAAAGTCTCTTTACACCTAATTCCCTCCATGTCTAACTGGGGTTTTCAGGGGGGATGCCCTCAGAAACACTTTAATTATAAATGGCAGCCCCGGGCAACGCCATGACGTTAAAGATGTATGGCTTAGTCAAGACAGAAAGTGTCAGAACCTGTTTTCTGACCAGCAGGCGTCTCAATTTAATTTATTCAGTCTTGAGCTTTTCTGTAATTACACATTTTTATAATATGAGCCGATTTCAAGGGGCGTGTCCAGATTTTTAGAACTGGGGTGGCCCAGATGTCTCAAAAGGTGGCCAGGTTATGCATGCACACACAAATAAAAAGTACTCACCATCGAACTTTAGAAGATATGTTTAAGAGTTATTTAGCTTTCACATTCCTGTGATATTTGCTATAAAAATTTACATAACAGATCAGCAACACATTAATCTCATGAAACAGTTCAGCAGTTACAACAAGGGAGCGACCTTCCATCCATCCATTTTGTACGGCTAATTCCTGTTGGGGGTAGCGGGGGGGATGGAGCCTATCCCAGCTTCTTCGGGCAAAGGCAGGGGACACCCTGGACAAGCTGCCAGTTCATCACAGGGCTGACGTAGAGAGACAAACAACCATCCACGCTCACATTCACACTTACGGGCAATTTTCTGAAAGTGGCCAATTAACCTAACCCAATTCTGCATGTTTTTGGGATGTGGGAGGAAACTGGAGTATCCGGAGTAAACCCAGGCAGACACAGGGAGAACATGCAAACTCCACACAGAAATGCCCTGATCTGGATTCGAACCCAGAACCTTCTTGCTGTGAGGCAACAGTGCTAACCACTACACCACTGTGCTGCCCGCGGCAACTTTCATTCTTCAGAAATGAGCCCAAAGCAGTAATGCCAGTTAAAACTGCAGTTCTTTGAGTGGCCACAAGAGGCTGGGTGCAAAAGCACTAGAAGCCACATACACACTCATTTAAAAAAAAAAAAAAAGACATGTTGACAGCCAAGTTTTAAAAAACTGTTTTAGTCTGAAAATGTTATCTCTCCACGAGCACATGCTGTGAAGGGTGTTGTTTTGTATTTTTTAAGGTGCATTAACTTTGAAAATTACATATTTTGCATAATTACAGGTCCAGCTGATTTGCTTCGCTATTAAAAAGAAGACTAAAGCCTTCCCTCAACCCCAACTCCAGCATTTCCAGACTGCTCTTACAACATGGATCAAATACTTCACTTTGGACAATAAGTCCCTCCTCTGACAAGGCAGAAAGCCAATCATAGTTTAGGATTTTAGGGCGGTTGTTTGTGGTGGCCAATCAGAGTAAGAGCAGCACCTCCCCTGACCCCCTGCATTTTCTTCTAACACCACTCATATTTGATATAAACATACATATAGAACTTGATAAGTTGCTTTGTTTGCTCTGCTGCTAACATGGCCACTCACCATTAATTACAGACAAGCTTACTTAGCTTAGCTCCTGTAAAACTGAATGGATTAAACTTTATAAAACATTATAATTAGTGCTTTAAAGGCATGTAAGGGGTAAGTAGAAATTGTTACTACCGGGAGCAGACGTGCTAAGTCGATATGTATCCACTGGTTTTGCCAAGCTAAGCTAAATGTTTGCTAGCTGTAGCTTAAATTAACAGGAATATTCTGTTCCTATCTTTGACTGCTGGTTTTAAATCTTTTAAAAAGTGTACCTTGAAAATGTTCAACTATTCATTTAATGAACTCTGTCTCACACCTCACTTCCTCTCTGTAGGCCTATGTATAATTCACCATCCCGTGTCCCCCAGCACTTTTTAACTCCAACCCCTTTTTCACATGCAGGTGCACGATGTTGTGTCCACTGGTTACCCAATTTGTTGTGACTGCTGTTCACTGTAAGATTACACTTTGTATGCTGTATGCTTGTCATTAAAATTGAATAAGCACACTGCCAATGTAGTAAGGTGTTGATAACTTGCCACTCACAATGCAGCACTCCCAAACAATGACCAACCTGTGGGCTGAAGACATGTAAACCCAAGGGAGGATGTCACATTTCCCAGGGATATTCATGAGCTTTTCTGGGTTTAAATCTGCATAGAGGAAAACAACAACAGGCAACAGGCCTCTCCAAGGTGAAACACAAGTGTTATTTTATTTATGCCCTACTCTCCCCCTCCCTCTCCTCCCCCTCCTCTCTTCTCTCTGGGGAGCCGGGCTGCTGTGCCCCAGAAAGCTGACATGCCCAGGCTGAAGGGAGAGCGGGAGCTCAGGGGGGAGATGGGCAGCTCCATGGTCACCCAGACAGAGCCAGCACCGAACACATGCAGCAGTTCTCCTCCGCTGCACCAACACAGACTTTTTCTGGAACACTCACTTGACCTTGAGAGACAGTGAGAGGGGTTTGGTGGGCAACTACCAAGTTAGAGAGGATTCAACTTAGTATTTGGAGATTAGAGGTGCAGCAAAAGCTGTTCTGAAGTTAATAAACAAGCCAGAGAGATTCTGCAGAAAAACACAAAATCTCAGGGTGTTGGACAGCACTTTAGCGTCAGACGCTTTGGGGTTTCTGCAAGTACTTAAAGTGGTATCCCCCACTGGCTGTTTAGTAAAAGCAAAAGAGCAGGTTTGCAATCTGTCGTAATGCAACCTAAGACCCCACATGAAGTCATCACCTCTATTGGGCATTAATTCATTTATCTGAAGAGATATCTGTTCACAAATGTCCTTTTCTGTCATGTTGTAGATGTCAAGGCCAGTTGATGTACATCTGTAGCCAGGGACAGGTCCAGGCCTTTGGTGGTCGTGGGCCCCCTCGACATTTAAGTGGCCACCCTACAAACCGCAGCTATGTCAGAGGTTTGCCTGGTCAAATATAGGACTTCTGTTAAAATGAACTACTTTTTTTGCATTTATATCTTGCACGTTTCCTTTAGTTAGCACTTAGTACTAAAATACAGGGATTTTGAATATCCTCTATACATTAGCAGTCAAAGCAGTGAGATTCATAGATAAGGTAATGTTTTATTTGGGTGTGCATTTAAATACTTTGTACTACACCTGTAGTTACTTTCCCAGTAACGCGTTACTTTTTGGTGTGAGTAACCGAGTTACTGACTGAGTTACTTTTTTACAAAGTAACTAGTAACTGTAACTAGTCATTATTTTTCAGTTACTAGCACAACGCTGGTCATTACAGTGTTCAAGCTTTAAAAGTTGTATTTTAAAGTGATAGTATTTAACATGTATATGAAGGTGTAAGTGACAGACTCTCTCCTTACCTTTTTCCGAGAGTGGTGGTTCCTCTCCCTGCTGAGCATTGATTGGCTAAGAGCGAGATTGACACATCAGCGACAGCTGCCCAGCAAACTAACCCTGTTAGGTCAATGCACCCTGACAGCTAGCTGACACCCCAATTTCCTGATGAGCCGCCTGCTGTGCACTGTCTTTTAAGGAACAGCTTAAGACATCTTCCCCAGCAGCTTCCCCGTTCCTGCTGCTTAATTTCTCTCCATCACTTGTCATCTGATTATGCGCTGGCTGACTTTGTTGTGTCAGCAGATGGAGAGGGGGTTAATGACTGGGGGATGAGAGTGCTCCAGTACATCCCGGCTTCGCAGGACATGTAACTTCAGAGTATGTAATGGATTAAAAGAGGAGAGATGGAGTGTGGGAGACATGTGTGTGCATGTGTCACTTTAAAATGTAATGTGCAGGCTTTTTGACCTCTTCACATGCAATTTTCTTTGAATTTCTCATAAACGTCCCCAGTGACTCAAGAGATGTATTTGAAACTGCTCGAAAAAGATGTTTTCAAAATCTACTGAGCTGACTTAAAAAGTTCAGTAGTTGTAGTAAAAAACAGTTAATACTTAAAGAGACAGTTTTGTCTTTTCATCTGAGAGATACTGTCCAGGTCTTGTGTGCAAATACCTATTTTTAAAAGGCACTATGATGACCTTTTTGTCTTAATTTTGGGGATGACAGTGTATAAAAATAAAATAGTTTGAAGAAAAAAAAATCCTCCTTCATGCTCACTGATAATTTCATTTTACTAAGATCACATTTCTCTGAGAGGAATTTGATTTTCTCAGGTATAATTATATTTATTGTTATACAGTTAATAAACTTTACTTAGTGTTGTTTCCTCCAGTCAAAGTTCTCAGCCTAAAGTCCTGTACTGACTGACATAAATCACAAATATGTGGCTGGTCTGTTTACCTAATATCCCTCCTCATTGATAATAGTCATACCCGTCTACCTCAGGAAACGTCTGTACCTCCTGTTTTGGTTTGGAACTTACCAGATGCTATTAGCTTGACACATACTAAGCATGGGCATCTTCTGGAGGAATAAATCCTTAGCTACTCTATTTCTTCTGATTTAAAGATGTACTTTTGGGCTTTTTGCCTTAATTTGGAGAGGACAGGACAGAGCATAGTGAACAGGGAGAAGGATCGGGGACATATGGGAAGAGGCCACGGGCTGGGATCAAACTGCTTGGGGCGTAATTTCCATACTTGGGGCGCGCTCCATTTCACATAATTTCTTTATTTTTATCCCTTTAATGATATTTACATACATATTTTTTATTTAGTTATTAACTTCTTTTTAATTGGATGCTTTTAATTTACTGTGTATGTGTATTTAGATGTGTTTTGAACTACTGAAACCAATTAGATGAGGATACACAGTTAAAGCTCCCATGAGTCGTTTTTTGACATTAACAAAATTGACTGAAATTCATGGTTATGCCTTCTAGTAAAGTACAAATGCAAAAAAACCCCTCATCAGCGAGACTAAATATTTCAATATCCTTATTTTTATTGTCTGAAACTATTGTGAGGGGGTGGGTCCAAGCCTGCAGCTGTAAACGCAGTCCTGTTTTTGAATGATCACCTACGGTATTGGCATGGAAAGGATGAGTTTGACTGTGAAAGGTCAGCAGGATGAGATATGTTTCTATAAATCACTACTCAAGCATGCAGCCAGTAGGATAAGCGAAAGACTGCTTTGTCCACAGGGGGTGCCAAAACTGATGAGAACTGAAAGTTCCTCACTGCAGCTTTAAGTGTTAAAAACAATGCGCAAAATTTGCAAATCTGAGAACGAGAATCTCAAAAACAAGTATTGGTAAAATCAGTGGATACTACATTCATTAACAGAGAGCCTCTTAACAAGCTAAGATCTTAGTACTCACAAGTTTGTGTGGCAGCTATCTCCGTAAGCAGAATCCCCCCAAAATAAATATTTAATGAAAAATAAGTTATTACAAAACTCCTGTGGTAGAGACTACCCACAGGCAACGAGCCAACAAGGGTATTCTCAAAGCAGAGTATGTGCTTGATCATCAGTTTAACAAATGCAACAATAATGCAGCACGTCAGTTCAACTGCTACTGAACTTTACCAGCTTTGGTTGCTACTGGCAACAGACGGCGCAGACGATCCTGACACAGAGCTCGAATAATTAATGGTATGTTAATGTGCATTCGGATTGATTAGATGGTGGAGTTTTTTCGTCTCTTTAAATTTCTCATATTCAAAGGAAAAATGGAAGAAAAATTGCATCATTCACACAAAAATGCATTTTGCTCTCAATGCGTGCATGTCAGATTTTCATAATTGCTGCTGGAAAGAATTAAACAGTTCAAGCAGCCCTCATAAGTGTAACTTTCTGAAGCTCTGGTTGTCAGGTAAAAGACCCGGCCTCACATCTATAATAAGTCGTATCTCCCGCTCATCAGAAATGATTTAATGAGTCAGCATTACAACTATTTTCCACTCCCAGAACTGATTATAAACATGGCCCCCTGAACACAAAAAAAAACACTTCTGGGCCTTCCTTGTCTTCCTGGAAATGAATTCACTTCATGCCGTATAATGAGAGTCAGTATGGGGTCCATATGGTTACAGCAGGGTTGGGTAGCAGCGGAGATGGGGAGACAGGAAGGGGGTAATGCACGTTTTAATGAGATGTGAGTCTCTGTGGCACACCTGCACTTCAGCGATCTGTGAGGATTGCTCACTGGAGCCTAGAGAGGAGTAAGACCTAAGTAAAGAGCAATATAAGAGCCTGAGAGAGCCGAAAATGTGCCGCTGACTTCATCAACAACTATATTAAATGAATTAGCCGGGCCGATTTGGACAAGACTCCTGATATGTGGCACTGCTGGATCCTCCCACTGTTGTCAGTGAGCCACACAAAGCTAATTAAGTCATATCAGGCTATGTTGAGCTGTGTTACTGGATGTTAGCACAGGTTGGGTGACTAATATAACTACAGTTGTACTGATACTTGGAGTCTGTTATTACCTTCACAAAACAACAATATGATCTTATGAATAAGTTAGTCGATTGTTTTTTTAGTGTGCTGCCAATTATCTGGTCTGACACCTACTATAGAGAATAACAACAGGTGAATAGTCTCAGTTAAGATCACCTGTCTATTTCTGAAAAAGCAAGCCCTAAACTTCTTATGTGCAAAACCCGCAGGATCCGGAACGGCTCCACTCCACTCAGGCACAGCAGGCGGATCAAATACGCAAGCATTATAATCAATGTGTGTCATTCCACAGAATCCGTCCGGAGCATGGCGCATCAATTCAGTGCAGCGCAGCACAAGCAGAAACAGAAGTTGTATGCGGTTACAGAGTAAAATATCCGGCTAATTTTCAAAATAAAATAAAGTCAATACATTGATCTGTTCTTAGCTTGATAATAGAAAAGGTCGGGGTTGTGGGATGTGGGTGTTTATATGCATCGCCGTTTATATACACCAATCGACGGATCTCATTCTATGACTCCCGGGGAACACGTGAAATCTCGTCCAGTCTCGCAAGAAATATCGGTAATCTCGCGCGCACTTCTCCTCCGATGGTTAGTAGACAGTCACATTGTACCTATCTGAGGCAACTTGGCCAAACCCCTAATTATGCAAATATAACTGTAACTCGTAGTCTTAAAGGTACTATAAGGAGATTTTACCTAGTTGTGAAATAGACTGAAGTTAATACTGATGTCTCTGTCACCTCATAATGCAACAATACCTAGAAAAAAAGTGAGACTTTACCCTAATAGTTATTTTTAATCCCTGAAACCACTAGTAGGTGTGATGGGGTTCATACTGTCTTTTTCTTTTTTCTTTAAAAATTAAAGAAACTTTTTAAGTTCCTTCCAGAGGCTTTAATGACTGGATAAAGAAATTACCTATTCAGACCAGAACAATCTTTTGAACCATGTAAAACATGTTTAATTGTGGTGTAAAAATTGACACTTTAACTCCTGTGGTTTTTGCTGCCTGCCTCAAGTGGACACTTAATGAACTGCACTTTTAAATGCCTCCTCCTTTTTGATCACCTATGGTTGCTGCTTTTTTCAAGGGCCTAAATCTATAAGATATAAAGTCTGGACCCTATGAGTCATATAAAAGTTTATATTCTATTCTAAGCAACGGCAGTTTGCTGTTAGGTTAATTGTGTGTGGTCTGTCTGGGATATTTAAATGATTGGTGTTGGACTCTATAACAGCCGCTGCAGGATGCCTCTTGTCCAATCAAATCTCTCTGTGAGAATAAACAGCTTAATAATCAGGTATTTCTTCTAATTTGTCCTAGCATGTATTTAATGGTCATTTGGCTCTCTGTGGGTTGTTCTACAGATTGAATGCGGCCCTGAGTGGAGCGTGACACTTTGCATCTGTGGCTCAGCCCATGTTATCTCTCTCTGTAGCAGCTAGTTGAGCACATGCCCACCACATGGCTGACTCGGAGGGATTCATTTCTGCCATGTGCTGGCAGCTTGGCATGGCCGCCTTTGTAGCATCTGTGTCACATGACAATAGGGTGTGTGTGTGTGTGTCTGTGTGTGTGTGTGTGATTGTGGGCCAGTGGAGATCTCAGGTACTGTGTGGGGTTACAGGGGATGCTGCACAAAGTTTAATCTGTTCTGTAAATGTTAACAAAGTAATCTTTGTCTGATCAAAGAGAATAATTCATCCAATCAGAGGAGACAAGCACCTTCAGCACGGCGTTAAATCTATAATTGTTCTGACCTTCACGTCTTGTAGGGGAAAAAAAATCAAAGTGCCCCCATGGCGAGGCCAGAAATGCAAAATACAGCAAGTGCAGCAGTGTTTATTGCCATGCAACACAGCTCTATGATTTCACGCTGCAACCCAACTGGGCTAAATTATCGTGGTTTGACTTGGAAATAGCAGCGCAAGGTCAAACGAAGACAAACAGCATGTTATCCTGAGCCAGAGGGGGACTGAGGCGACTGATCTCACACAAGAAGACCACACCAAAACCACCGGGGGCCTATTAGGGGCTACAGATTGTTGGGCCTTGTCATGCATTCACTCTATTTATGCCTCTCAGTTGTCTTTTAAATAATGCAGCTCTGTTTAAGCACAGTCCTGGCTTCCTCTTTTTTCTTTTTTTTAAACGCAGCACCTGGCATGCTTTGGTATTCCGCAGTTGGCTCCCTCCCGGGGCACAGATTTTTATAAGGCTTTGTGAGGGGGCTTTAGTTCGGAGATGTGAAGGGAGAATATGACTGAACTGAGAGCTGCTGCATGACAATGATGTTAGTTGGAGGAATGGTTGGTTTGTATTGTGTCGTGGCTGGAACGTGTGACGCATAATGAGGAAGGAGGATAGAGATTCACAAAACAACAATATAATCATGATTCAGGGAGGTTTTCTTTCAATTCAAATGCAGCAGATCAACTTTTTTGAGTCATTCTTACACCTCGCTGAAGATTATTACTTGATTAATTTGTTGTATTGTTCACAAAATATTGCTTTTATATTTCCCCTGTGTATTTCTACCAACAGAAGGGCAAGAGCAGAAGTGATTTTAAGCGTTTCTCCAAAATTTGCTCCCATCATTATTATTCTCTGCACGATTCCTGTTTATGTGCATTCGGAGTTTCGAAATCCGGAGTTTACTACGTGTTACAGATCTGAGTTCAAATATCTGTGCCTAATGAGGCCTCTCAAAGGCCTGTTAGAAAATGTGCTCTGGCCGCTCTGATCTGGGTGGTTAGCTCTGGCGTCCCATTGGACCTTTGATTCTGACCCAGTTTGCGGGAAAAGCATAATGAGCTGAATTCTACCCGGTTTGTTCTCTCATTAGATCTGACCTGTGCTCGACACAAGCCCGCCATCCTCTGTAATAGAATTTAAATCTTCTCCATTTGTTGTCTCTTACAGGTAAAGCTGCTTCCTGTCAGGACGTATCAGCAGAGGTGCTTGTTGACGGTCTGTTAAAGTTCAATCAGTGTCTTTTGCACTTAAACGTTAGTTTATTTCACAGCACTGTGATCAGCGACTACATTCCTGTAAATAATTGAAATAGCACTCTTTACTTCAACAAATCTGAGTTGGATTTGTTTGCTTTCTTATGAGATATATAAAGTGATATTGATTTTTATCTCTGCAGTGCATTGAGGTCGCCCGTTAGCCTTAAAATGATCAGAGCAAGGCGGAGTACGGAGAGGGTCTCCAAGAGGATGGTCACTTTTTTGTAAAGTGGCAAAGTCTACAAAATAGTTCAACAACAGAGAGGTTTTCTGATGGAAGTAAAGCACTGAAAAATCTCAAGATATGTTTGGAGAAGTGAGCTACACCTAGCTTCCAAGTCGACTCTGAACAACTGGGCTGAGAATCCCAACAGTAGAGTGATCACACGTCCTCTTTTACCCGGATGTGTCCTCTTTTCGGGGGGCTGTCTGGTCTTGTCTGGCTTTGTCCAGGGGGGGTTTATAAAAACCTTCAAATGTCTGGTGTTTTGTTTTGAGTTTGTGTCGCGTGGACTTACTGAGTTAGAAGCGCATAAAAAACACTCAATCGGACCGAAAAACTCTCAAAATTAATGAAGCGCGACTCCGTGACTCCGCCCCTGTGTAATTTAGTCCTCTTTTTGGGGATTCAGAATCAAAATATGGTCACCCTACCCAACAGGATAGCTTACTTTTAACTTATCAAAAAAAAAAAAAAAAGAAAAAAAGAGAGAGACATAAATAAATATATATAAAATGTAAAGGTTCATTTAAGCTCCTGTGAGGAACTTTTGACTCATGTCAATATTGGCACCCCCATCAAAACCACCTAACCCTGCTGACTTCTAATGGCCAGATTTATCATCTTTGTGACTAATCAATGTTGAAAATAACAAACAGGTTGTTTTCCACAGTGACATCTACCCCCTCACACTCATTCCAGGCATTTAAACGTCCATATTAAAATCATCAATCTCTGTCCTGATGGTTTGTTTGCGTCTTTATGTCATTAAAAGGCATCAATGTGAATTTCAGTTTATTTCATAAATGCTAAAAAACTCCTCACGGGAGCTTGAATTAAAAAATATCCCTTTAAAGGAAACTGGCGGAAAATTTACTGTGATTTATTGCTGAATTTAAATGGTCAATTGTGATTTATAGCATGTTAATTTTCCATTAGTTTGCATCTCAAAGCACTTTTTAAAAATTCCTTATTAACAATATAAAGCAATTCTTACCAGTCTCTCCATTTGAGAATCAAATGGCTGTAATGAAAATGTATTTTACGACCTTGACTTTCAGATTTATCATTTAAATAAATGCTGCACTGCTACGCCAGTGAGATGTAAAAACCACCATTTAGAATAAGGAGCTTATAAATCTGGAGACTGGACCTAACAAGCCAACCTGAGGGTGTCCCTATAAGACCCCAGTCACCCGCAATGGTGTCAGCGCCACGTTTGCAGGGGGGCAGTAAACTGAATATCTGCTACTATAGATACAGTTAGGGACCGTCATAAAAGTGCATCACAGCCCTTTATGTGATGAACTCTCAGATGTGTGTGTTTTATTTAACCCTTACAGACTGTTTGGATTAAATTTGACTCATCTTGACTTGATGACTTTTCCTGAAGTGGCCCAAAATACATGAAATTAATTTAAAAATATTCATGCATACTTTTGTACATGTGCTACACATTTTGCCCCTCTGGGGCTGTTACGGGTCAAATTTGACCCGTAACTATTTAGATGGATTTTTAGATCTACCAGTGTAGGACAAGTGACAAGCATTGAGAACAGTGTTCAATATAAAGTTTGTTGTTCAATAAATTATCAAATTTTATCATTATGCCTTTTATATTCTTTTATTTTTTACATAATGTTACATGACATTAAAAACGAGTGGTGTTAAAACTTGTAAAATACACTTTCCCTGCTCTTAGAAACATTTAGAAAGTACAAATCAATCATTTTTTGAAGTAGCATAGGTCATTTAAACATTATGAATAGGTTTGGGGTTAGAACTTTGGTGAAAATACTTGCTACATGGGCAATTCTTGGGATACAGGATTTGAACAGTATGTGAGGGTTACAGACCAAGAAAAAAAATATAACCAAAGAGGACAAAATATTTTGACTTTGAGTAAAAAAAAAAAATCTCTATTATGACTTTTATCAGTGCGGACAACATAGCAGTATTGCATTTGCAAAAACATCCAACTAAAGTGAGAAATCTGGATGTTAGATGAGTAAAAGTGTTAAGAAAGTGGAGTGCTGCACTTTTTTACAGTTTCTTATCTGTGAATTTAGTGATTTCATAGAAAATGTCTCGACTGAAGGTAATGACTAAAATGGACCGACTCAAACTAAAATCTTTTTGATATTTTCTGTATAGAAAGCAAAAACGACTAAAAAATGATCTAAACTAACAGCCATTTTCATCTAAAGACATAATGATTCTGAGTCAAAATCATCTGTCGAGATAATCCGGCCTCTGCTGACATTTATCGGTAAAATTGGTACCATTATCTTTGTGTTTCCACTTCGGGAGGATGTATACAAGCGTTTCTCTATTTATGCTACTTCAGGTCTCATTTTGGAAACAGTGTCTGGGTGGTTTGGTTAGTGTTCACAACATGCTCTTATCTTGAGTGTCACTCAGACTCCAAGGGTCTCCAGCCATGAGCTTCATATCATAGCATGTCACATTATATGTCACAGCGGTGGGCGTCTGTCTCTGACCAGGTCAAAACGAACACTTCACCATTATGTCTTTAGCCCGCTCTTTCTCCAACACATGTAAAACTGTTGTGCAAATCTCTACATTATGAAAAAGTCATTTGATGCACGTTTGATTTCATGTCTGTCGCTAATCACTGAAGCAATCAGCAGGGAGTCATTAATTAAAACCCCCCAAAAGGATCTGAAATCTTCCACTACATGATACTCTGTCTTCAATAATCAAAAGAAATCCTCCACATTGTTCCCTCTCCGAGTTTCCCAAAGAGTCTCTGTGATTGGCTATCAAACACATGTCTTCTCCATCACACACAGCCGCTCAGTGTGGAGGCGTCTCACTCTGCGCCTGAACAAAAGTCCTGAGAGGCAATTAAACAGGTTTTTACACACATTTTATTTCACACTGCTAGAGCCTGGAAACTTTCTTTTTTCACTCAGACTTCAAACCAATGACGGACAGCAGACTCCTGGGTGCTTGGGTCAACGGGATAAAGTTCAACATCAAATGCGGACAAGCTAGCCTGCAGGGTTTGCGGCTGGATGTTTGAAATACAAGTCTGGTTGTCTGAAACCAGAAGAAACTCAAACACGGACTGTCAGAAAGTATTCTTTGTTGCTTAGGATCTGTTTTGCTCCGGGGATTTTGGCGTTGCATGTGTCGCGGGATAGACAGTTGGCTTTGGCAGGGTCCGAAAAATCCTGCTAAATGTGACAACCTTTTACCTGAAAGCACCCGGTCTCTTCTTGAGTTTCTGAAAGTTTTACCCAAACTCAGCACCAGCAGATGTCACCAGAAGCAAAAGCCCCTTTACATGACGAGACTTTGAGATGAAAAATGAATCCAGGAGACGGAACATTTGTCTGGGGAAGATGCTTTGAGTGATAAATGGCACCTTAAAGAAGATTAAAAACATTTAAGGCCACATAATGACAGGATTTCTCGGCTTCTGGAGAGTGATATGGAGGGAGGGAAAGCTTAAATTCTCACTCCTGTGTGACTTTTACACATAAGCACATATAAGAAAGAGGGATGTGCGCTCACATCTTCACTATGAGGAGATTACATGCCTGAGCCAGGAAAGCCATTTTGAAACCTGCTCAGTGCAAAAGCAAACATCAATAATAGAGGTATTAGGAATTTTAATCAAGGACTTATTTAACATGGTAATTGCTGGGGACAAAGGCAAATGATTTAATACTTGATGACGACAGTTTTGCATCCTTCATTAGCAGCATAATTCAAAGCAATCCCCTGGTATTCTAGGGAGGCAGTATGCCTGAAATTCAAGGCAGCGCTGTCAGACAAATGTTTAGCATATTCAACATCCCAGGATCAATATGTTGTCCGGGAATGGCGTCTTTCGCGCTCCACAATTAATTCACAGACGTCGACCTCTGGCTTGAGTTTTAGTGGAGCTAACATCATCGGCCTGCTGATGGGACTGAGAGGGACATAAAGCAAATGACCTGTTTTAATGCTCCTCATCAAAGCCTACAATAAAAGATCAAAGTGGGCAGGAACAACCGGGAACTTTACAATGACCTTAAAGTGCACAGCTAAACGCCGAGCAGGGCGTGACAAAGGTCGGCTCGCTATTGATCCCTTTAAAGGGATTTTCTGCAGCTGTTCCTGTCATGCTTTTTTGTGGGTGGAAATTTAGGCATTTGGGGGATTTTTCATGAGAAATATTACATCGTGGTTGAGTTTCTTGGCTGTATTGCAGGTAGAAATACAGAATAATAAACTTCAGGGTGTAAAAACATTAAGCACACTGACTGGGCTACAGTCCTAACAGAGCAGATTATCCTGCCTTTGTACAATGCAAAATTTTACTTCATTAAAGCTCCTGTAAGGAGTTTTTTGACATTTTTGAAACAGACTGAATTTTATATTAATGCCTTTTCATGATATCCAAAAGCAAACAAGACCATCAGGGACATAATTGACAATTTGGATATTTCAATTTATGTTGCCTTAAATCGGCACAAAGGGGGTAGGTGTCAGCTGAGCAGCTGAAAAACAGCCCTGTTTGTAAAATATTGACACTGTATAACACCTTCGACTGTAAAATATAGAAGGATGAGATTTTTCATCAAGTAAAAATACTGAAACATTTAGAGGACATGATAAGCAAAGACTGCTTTGTCCACAGGACAATTTGTCCAATTAACACAAACTTAATTTCTCACAGCAGCTTTAAAACCAGTTGTTTAACTTTTTTTCACATAATCTTATTTTAAGGGATTATCGAGCAACATTCGCCTAGTTTAGCAGCATCAGAATATTTGTGATTTACACTGGATATTAATGATATTATTATTATTGTGGGCCAATAATGCTAGTCTTTTCATGTGTCTACAACTGACAAGCATTTAAAGGACATAACAAGTAAAGACTGCTTTGTCCACAGGGGGGCGCCAAAATTGACATAGACATAAAGTTCCTTACAGGAGCTTTAAAATGAATCTGGACTGAAAGTTAAAAAAAACAAAACATTGTTTTTGTTTTTGCTGGATTCTAAAGGACCCAAAACTATGTGACGCACTTGTATCTTGACTTTGCGACTGATTGATCCAGTACCTGTGAGACTTTTAAAAACTAATTTTTTTTTTCCTTTTAATTGATGTGTTTCGTGAAAATGTTCAGTGAGTGATGATTTTGCCATCCTGTGTGGACACAAATCATTTGTCTTATCTCTTAGCTGAGCTTGCTTGTTCACGGGTTAGCAGATCTTTTCATTCTTTTGTCTTTTTCAACAATTAAATTTATCACTTACTTGCAGAAACAGTTTAAAAGGAGATTTTATTTCAGCATGTCCTTAATCGAGCTTGAAGATGATCAGATACAGAATTCTTTTAATATGTACAAACTGAGAGGAAGTAAAATCACTCTTAACATGCTTTAAATGACAGGAAAACTGGAAAGATAAACATCACTGCACCCAAAAAGCACAAGGTTAATAATGTTGAACATTTACATCTGAACATTAAGTTCTGCCTTTATATTGTTCTTGTTAATGGAGGCGGGAGTCAGACTTGATGCACTTGTTTTCTCGCTCTATAACATTATCAAATGTGTGATTCATATGTTGGTATTTTATCACCTCTGCATCATGAATGTTTGTCACTTTATGATGTTTCTTCCTCACCTTTAGGATTGCATTTTCTTTTCAAAAGGACACCTTCAGGTGTAATTAGTCTTCCTGAGTCAAAGCATACAAGGAAATGATAGATAATTTGGGAGCACGTTTCTTTTTATAGAGTCAGACATTGTTAGACTTGTCATCATCACCTGCCCACAGGTATTCAGTGCGTCCCTGGCTGGCATGAAGCTGTCACAGCACAAGCTCTAATTTACAGGGTTTGTGTGACTTTTTAATTACACATCGTACGTCAGTTTATTGTAAAAGAAAAGTGATTCAGTGTCATATAAAGCCTCAGGTCTGAACTTAAGCAAGAAGTGTCATCTATTTTCTTAACCAGGCTGTTAAAGGTCTCATGCGACACCTGATTTCTCTTCACTGGCTTCCCGTGAAGCTCATGATGCAATTTGAAGATCTTGGGATCATTTATAGACCTCTGTGAGGAGCAGTTGTTGCAGGTGTTTCAAGTCCTCTGTTGGTTTATTTGAACTTTAGGACTTCCAGACTTTTGAGCTCTCTCTCTTTCTTAAACTGGGGAAATCTTTCTTTTCAGCCTTCTAAACAACTCCTCCCTTTCTTTTCTTTAACTTTTCACTCTTACTCCTATATGACAGTGTTTTGATTTCCTGTGCCTATATTTTATTTCTGGTTTCATATTTTTATGACCTTAAAAAGGTCCTTAAAGGTGCTTTATGAACAAAGTTGTTCTCACTAACTTATTAATGTCAGCTTCAGGGTCCTGAAGACACAAAGTTCCCCTGAGGTTTTATTCACATGAGAGATTCCAGCGAGTCCGAGTTTCAGTTTTTGCTCGACTTACTGGTTTGGAGTGGAAGGAAGTGAGTCTGTAAATGTTGGCACAACTATTTATACACAACATCTATCTTGACAGTAGAGAGGGGTCTGGCTGCAGACCTCCACTGTCAGGATCCACCTCCACTAAGAAGACCTGAGGTGACGTTTTTTCTCATGCGCTTCTGTTTGTTTGAAGTGGTCATCCTGTTTTGTATTTTTCTTTGTTGAACACATGAATACACAAAAAAAAATCCTAGTAACATACATAAAATAAAAGAGCCAAGAAATAAAATATATATTCACACGAGAGATAAAATGCGTACTTCCTGGTCACAATATATATTTTTTGTGGGATGGCAGGGGAAAGTCTCGCCTCCTACGCCTCTGATTGGCTAGAAAAGCTGGAAACGTCATCACACACTGAAGCCAAACGTGGGCTATCAGTTCTGTACATCGAACAGAACATTACAGAACATTATCGCACTTCTGAATCTCCTAACCCTAATCCTAATCTTAACCCTAACCCTAATCCTAGTCCTAACCCTCACCCTAACCTGACAGACGATGATGTTTCACAGCCATAAAGTATAACCAATTGGAGCACATCACTTCTAGCCAATCAGAGGTGATCCTACAAAAAAAATTTCGCTTCCCGATCTAATCGCTTTTATTTTGAAAGGCTTCAAATCAACCTCACTTGAGGTGGGTCCTCACTGTGGAGGTCTGCTACGAAGGGTCTTGTGACAGTTCTTCCTTTTTTTCAGATTAAGCAGAGCACGATCCCTCTGCTGGATCCTCATGGTATTACCAACAGATTACAGAGCAATCAAACTTAATCAATCTAAATAACTCTCTCTTACTGGCTGTGTTAGTTTTATAACAAAAACACCATATTGAATGATGAAAGGAGGAGAATTTAACGTGTAATTGTCTGCGAAAGACATCATCTGTTTAAAACGAATCTGTAATCATCAGCATTAATTAGCAGGTATCAGTGTCTGAATTTATCTTATTTCATTAAAGATCTAATTATTAATTAGCTTGTATAATTGGATTAAACCTTCATTTACTGTTATAGCGGTGAACCTGATCTGTAAGATTTACAGCAGCAACATGGTACGTCCATATGTACAAATATGAGGGGCTTTAATTTCTTACCTTTAACACTGAGGAGTGACTGCAGAAGACCCTTGAGTAAATAAGCCCCACTGCCCAGCACCTCTAGTCATCAATGATCAGGGGATTAGCCTCTGCAGGTTATCTGAAGCCCTGATGACAAAGATAGAGAGAAGTAGGCAGATTAGGTGGGAGCGGTATATTTTTGTACTCTCTGATCGGGTGAAGGAAATGATGGATGGACTAATACCTGCCCGCATCTTCCTTCTCTCCTGGCTCGAGCTTTATTGAGGTCTTTAGATTCACTTATCTGCAAGCCCCCAGGTTATCTCTCTCTCCTCCTTCAATGACAAGTACCACCTCAGAGACACCCTGCAGACGCTCTTTTCCCTAAACAAAGGAATTCACACTCCCGCTTTGTTGTTCTCCGTGATGCAGATCGAGAATGAAGTGACAAATCTCGCTGTTTCACAAACAACATGTTTATTGTGTCGCATAAAGGGCGAGCAATAATTGATCCTAGATTGCCGTGTGCCCCGGTTGTTAACACAGACTTGATTACATCTTTGTTTTCCAGGAAGAAAAACTTGTTTTGTTTATGAGAACCTGCTGAAAATCCCGCTCCTCCGCTCTGACCATATGACTCACAAATGCTTTCATTTTTAGTTGTCTTATCTAATCCTGCACATTGGAGCGCAACCAAATAAGCAGCAATACCTTTGCATGGGTTTGAACATCTGTGTTTGATGATTGTCAATATTGTGCCAGTTGTCCTTGTTTCCCGCTGCCAGCGCAAACACACACACAAGGGTGGAAACCGAGGTGGCAATTCAGTTCCGTTTGATTTGAGTTTATCCTTTTGACCAGGCTGTATTTAAACAAACGGTGTAATCTCAACCACTGGCATCTGTAAGGGGTGACCCCGCGCAATTACTGGTGCTTACTTGCCAGCTGTACTTCACTTCGAAAACCAGTGGTACGTGAGGAGCCCTTGTGTGTCCTGCTTTTTGCTTTGTTTGAGTTGGGAGGCTCACTTTTCTCTGCAAGTTTTATATGAAAACCAGACGGCCAAGTTTAATCATTCTTCAGCTCTGTCTCTGAGCTGTTTTGTTCGGATTTTCAAGCAGCTCCTACAAAGGTTATCATTTTAATTGTGAGTATAAGATACCTTGTGTGCATGAGATAATACACTTGTAATCAGTGTCTACCAGTTATTATCTTTTCCATGCTATTTGTGATCTTGTATGTGCATTTTTAATTAATATGTGTGTGTAATTGGATTGTGTGTGTAATTGCATCATCTTGCAAGGATGTCATCTTATCATCTTATGCACACAACTCCCACTGAGCACATTTTGGTCTAAAAGAGATTAATAGACATCTAAATGTAGCCTAGACCAGTGGTCCTCAGACTTTTTGTATCGGGGACCAGTTTTCACGCAGGAAACTCTTTCCGAAGACCGGGTTGGAGTGTGGAGGTTCCAATAACAAAAGCCTTAATCAGTACATCGTATATAATCTGGATACAACAATTACATGTTATATTAGGCACTTTTCATTACACTTTAACATCAACTCAACATAATGCAGAATCAATCTTTTCTCTCTCCAGTGAACTTTGTTTTTGGCTCATTTTTGCGAGGGCTAGCTTGTGTTGCTGATGCAGGAAAAAGACGTGCCGAAGAGTCAAGCGCGAAAGTGAGGCGATGGCAGAAGTGGTGTTCTTTCAAAATAAGATACCGGGAGGACGGATGAAAAGAAAAAAAATTACTTAATCATCAATATTTTTTTTGCGGCCCCGTACTAGTTGATCCACGGACCGGTACCAGTCCGGTGCCCGGTGGATGGAGACCTCTGGCCAAGACGACTGGTCTAAAATCAGGCTATGACAGGTCTAAAAATGAAAGATTTTTAGACGTCTAAATTTAGACCAAGTTTAGACTAGCCGGCTAACAGAGGTCTACGCTGTATATTGCTCAACGGCTATCATAATTATTTTGGTTAAGTACTTGGAGATCAGTTATGCAACTCACAGTTGCTTTTTGAAATAAATGGTTATCGAATAATGGGTTACAGTGCAACGTCTAAATCACATCTAAATATATACAGAATCTAGACGGTTGAAATTAGGTCCAAAGAAAAAACTAGACGTCCAATAGTCATCTATTGCTCAGTGGGCTTATTCAATTGTGCATCTCAAAATATTGTCTCATGTGCACTCATTAGAAGCTCTCTGTGCATGAGGCCGACAGCAACATTAATGAGCTGCAGGAATCTCAGTAGCTGTGTAGTGCAAGTGATAACAATCTCCCATGTTCTTCATATGTCTAGGATAGACGGAAGCTGGAAACATCCAAGCCCGGCTAAATTTAGCAAAAAACACATTTGAAGTCCTTCAAAAGCTATGTGCAAAAATGTCTCATGGTCTCATGAAACCAAGGCTGAACTTTTCAGCTAGAATTCCAAAAGGTATGTTCGGCACAAAAACAACCCCGCACACCACCAAAAGAACAGGATACCCTTGGTGAAGCATGGTGGTGGCAGCATAATGTTCCAAATATCACTTGATGTTGGCAAAAAAACCTTCAGACTTCAGCTAGAAAGCTGAAAATGAAAATGAACTTCGTCTTTCAACACCACAAAGACCCGAAGCATTCACATTCAAGTTTTGGGAAGGCCCAGCCAGAGCCCAGACCTGAATCCGATTGAAAATCTGTGGGGTGATCTGAAGAGGGCTGTGCACAGGAGATGCCCACACATCTGACAGATTTGGAGCATTTTTGCAAAGAAGAGTGGGCAAATATTATTAAGTCAGTGCAGATATTTTTTTCTTTCTGCTGCAGATGAGCTAAAAAGAATATCAGAACACCTTCTATGAGAGATTTATATAAAGATTTATCATTCAAAACAGCTACAAATACAATTACAAAAATAAATAATCCTTACATCTATAGATGAGTCACTATGTAAACTTGAAGAAAGAGTGAAATAAGAGGTTACACCAGGATAAAATGAGTTGAGGAGTTTGTGTCTGTTTTTGTATCACAACCTACAGTTTCCTTCTTGGTCAACTTATTAAGTCAGAAAGGAGCCGCGTAGAGGATACTTATCTACCTCCCCTCAAGCCCCCTGAGGGTAAGTAGCTCCACTTTTCCCCATACGAAGCTGGATGGTGTCATTATCCAGGATCAAGTCCAGAACCCTGCCACCACCACCAGGCATGACATGATTGAGTATTGACAACGAGGACCGTCATCTCTGCCTGCTGATTATAAACCAATTCATAGGTACCCCCCGGTGATAGATCCATTCAGTGTCTAATACGTCCCAGCATGCAACACATATGAGATTTACACTCTGTTTTCTCTGTTTTTACGCAGTAGGAATACAAACTGTTGTCATCTGTAATGAGGAGTGGGCGTCACGAGAGAATTAACAGCTGTGTGGGTCATTCAGAGTAAGGATATAAATATATAAAAGCAGAGGTATTTAAAGAAGTCTTCTACTCCTGCACACTTCTTCTCTGGCAGTAATATTTTATATAAGCCTACATGTCAAGAAGTTGCAGGAAAGTTTTGCCTGACTGTTGCCAAGTGTGACACTTTGCAAGGAGAAGACAGGAACACCATGATGTCACCCAGCCCGCTCCGCTTCAGATGTCCCGGCGTCTCTGCCTCAGATGGGGGAGTTGTTTCAAGGGACGCCCGAGGGCTACGGCGCCTCAAAGAACTCCAAGAAATACCCTTGACCATCTCAGGAGCACTCCCTCTTCAAAGAGCAAGTGCATTCAAACAAAGAACAATTACCTCGCTGACTGTGCAGCGTCCACAATAATGTCAAATATTTATATAAATTTTTGGAAGTGCATTGACAAATGTGACTTTAAGCCTCAGGAGGTGAATGCTTGGAAATCCATCACAGATACAGTATGAAAGTTTGAAAAGAAAGTAAACTTTTGGACTTTTCTGACGTGGGTTTGTATGTGAAGAAAAACATTTGTTGTGGGACTGAACCACTGCATTGGCAAAGTCAGGGAATCGAGTGAGTACATAAGCTTAATAAAATGACCACAGCTACATAGATAAGAAGATTCAATATTAAATTCTGCTGATGCAACTAAAACAGCTTTTCTGAGCCGGCGGTGGAGACTAAAACTGAGCAACAAGGAATCAAGGACTCTTTAAACAGAAGCTAACTCTCAAAATTATTTGAATCTGCACGGAGAGACCGCCAACATGGTAGGCTCCTCATCCCTCAGCTATTTGCATCTCATATTTTAATTAACTGTTAGGTAGTTACTTCCTTCCCACCCAGCAGAAAGTGGTTGAAAAGGTGTTGAAAAGACGTCCTTATCGTAGGTCTAAACAACGTCTAGTTTCGGATCGTCTAAATGAAGCCCAGTTTTATAGCCATGACGGGCTGACATAATTTAGCCTGAAAAAAGATGTCTTATTTGTAAGTCAAGCTGGACTACAGTACACCACAAATGTACCTTTATGCACATAATTTCCATTCAGTTCAGACAACTTTAATAATCCCAAGGGGGCAGTTTGGTTTTGGCCTGATAAAAATCTGATCAGGATATTATTGGTGGCGTGTAAAAAGACCTTTAGCAGCATTAAATGAATCTGACTGATCTGGTATCTTTGCGACAGAAAGGAAATCACAAAACAATGAAAAATGTGAAAAAGAAGCATCCTGTGTTTCTATTTTCAGACCCGAATTCTCTGTATTTGCATGTTTGGTTGGAGCTCCAAAGAGAAGTTCCTTGGTATTTGAAAATACTTCCACTTTCTGGAGAATTTCTTTTTTTTTTTTATCATATGAACATGAAGACTGCTCTATAGATTGCTATTACACCTGACTGAGATCCAATCATAACGTGAACCTGGTGACAGACACATTTGCACCTGGAAAAATTGGGTTTTTCAGGCTGTATGTTAATACCAGGTGTAAATAGACCAACGGATGGAACTCGTGTCGTGTTCTAAAATGAGCACATTTAGAAGACAAAATGGGAAAAGTTTGAATTTTTTAGGATATTTGATTTTCTTTCATTTGTGTACAAAGAAATCTATCACCACTTACATTTAATAGGAACTTTCTACTCAATCTAAAAGCAAATGCACTACAATAACAAACCATAAAGTCACTGATGCATTGTTAGGAGGTTACACTTTATACTTAAGTGCATTTTAAAAAAGCTCATGTGGGTATAAATATAGCAGTGATTGAGCTGATATTGAGTAAGTTGATCGTTTCGAGAGATGGACTCCAGTGAAAAATATTTGTCTTAAAGTTAGTCGAAACTGCTGGATCAGCACTGTCATGCATATTGAAGATTAAACTCTCAAAGAGGAGTCTTCTTTTTTTTTCTTCTAAGTCTCTGCCAAGTTACATCAATGCATTCGAGAGCTGTGGCAGCCACAGTCACTGAGCAAAGGAGAAACAATCGGCTTAAACTCTTGGAAAGAATGCAGCCCTATTCCACTGGCAAGGATGTAATTCATTGAACAGAGCAGGTGCAAGACTCGACAACTATTCCAGAAAGGTATATTTGATGATAAATACACACTAGACACTGATATTCAAGTAATTATGGTGAGACACAGCTTCTTTAAACCCTCAATGAAAGCAAATTCCCAGTCTGCACATTTCAACCTTAAATTCATCATGAGTTGAAGGACAATGGCAGATGAAACATTATCCATCTGTTCTGCGTCCACTTGTGCTTCTCCTCCCCTCCCCTGGTGAGGCTGAGGCGACCTGCGCATTACAAGTAGAAGGCTGATGATTACATTGTTGGACTGAGAGCGATGCTCATGGTGCTGTAATCCCAGCAGTAATCAATATCTCTGGCCGCTTCCACCGTCCCATCCCTGCTACTGCATGTAAAATATCCCCGAGCAACACTTAGCCCGCACTTTAATTATTCTCTCAAAGTCATCAGTGGCTGGAACCAATACTGGGCTTGAGCATACTACAAATGAATCACAGTTTTTGTTTAGGCTCGCTTTACGACGCCAGGGACTGCGAGGATAAATGATAGCCACAGTGGAAGTTTTTACGTTGTAGGCATTTAATGAAATTTAGAAAATCATTGTGTGTTTCAAGGAAAAGAAGCTTTAAAGATATTGTACTGATGGCACGCTTATTTAAGATTAAAATCAATTAAAAATGTATGTTTTTTTCTTCATGTCGCATTACACAATATAGACCCCTTTACTGATAAAAATGTGTACGCTAAAGAAAAATGCAAATATTTTATCTTGTTTATTTTTATGCTTTAAGTCGTGATAACTCATTGCACTCAGCAAGTTGAATAAGCTCATTTTTTAACCTGCTAGCAAACATTAATTGGACTGAAATCACACTTTATTGAAATTCTCGTACCCAGACAAACATACCAAGATTACTTTTCTCCTCTGTGTGTATCACCTTCTGTGCATGCGCCAGAGTTTGCACGCTGGGCTTTGACCCAGACTCATCAACATAAAAGCTATTTAATAAATAAAACCCTAAACGAACAAAGGGACGTTAAAAGACAAAGATCCTGCTGGCTAGTTACCAACACTGTAGTGTTATGCATGATGCATACGTTTAACAGGAGATCATCCAACAGTTACGAGTGAAAGAGGGGTCATGTCGCCACCAACTGTGGCTGCTGTGGACTTACTCCTGTTAATAATTTACTTCTTGCTTGGTTTTTGTAAACAGGGATGAAGGTAAAATTCCATCTAAGTCGCCTGATCCAGCTGTGACCGTAGCGTCAAGGGATGTTACGGCATAAAATTAAATTAGGGTCAAACACAATGTAACACCAAGTTAGACCGAGTTGAATGTTGCCGACCACTTTCTTCTCTAGTTATACCAACTTTAGTAACGATGGCAGGATAGCAATACACAGCTGTCTATGGATCCACGCACAAACCTCAACCAAAACGCCACTCTATAGCCACAAATAATGCTCAGAAAATCACCTAACTTCATCAACAGTACATATAGGCTCCCAGCCATAGTACTAGCCACCAAACATCTTTTTAGCTTTGCCTAATTTCTTTAGCAAAGAGACTCAACACAACTCACCTAATCTCCTCCAGCAGCTGCTTGTTTGTGGGGGAGCCCTGACGAGTCAATCACTGAGTGTAGCGGAGTTTCGCAGCTCAAGGAAGAACATACACGATCACTACTTCATGGAAATGCAATCAGACCGAGACACTAAGGCAGAAGAACTACCGCGTCTTCAGTAAAAAACAATTATCATGATGATCATTACTTTAAGGAAATGATCCGCAGCACAAGCAGCTGTTAGAACAGTGAGTGAGTTGTGTTTGCTAAAGAAATCAGGCAAAGCTAAAAAGATGTTTGGTGGCTAGTACTTTGGCTGGGACCCTATATGTACTGTTGATGAAGTTGGGCGCTGTTCTGAGCATTATCTGTGTCTATAGAGTGGCGTTTTGATTGAGGTTTGCGCGTGGAGTGGTAGACCGCTGTGTATTGCCATTGTATCGCTAACTTAATTTTACGCCGGTATATCCCTTTAACTGTGGATGTAAATGAAATGAGTGTTTTAAAAAAGTCACCTGAAAGACATGTCAGCCGTGTCATTATATTTGTCTTTTTAATTTGTCATCGTCCAAGTCTTACAAGCTCAAATGTAACCTTTAAAACCAAAGCTTATAGCCACACATTTGTCATACGCCGCAGACATTACCTCTTAACATACTCGGGAGACGACGATGATGATGATGAGGCTGAGAGACCTTTTTTAAGCACAAAACTTAGAAAGTGATGATGGAAGAGATGAGGGCTAAAATTAGACGACAGCCTGCTACATATTTTATGTCTGCTCATCATGTAAAGGCAAGTTAGAGAGAGGTCAGCAGTCCAGCACGGAGAAACTTCACTTCCTCCTTGTTCTACTGAAGTCGGCTGCAAATCTACATCTCACTTTCTCTTTTATACAGACAGCTTTAGTAAATCAGTCTGTTATGTTAAGTGTGTGCTTGAGTTAGTTATATTAATGAAACTTTTTACTAAGAGAGCGTGGAGTCTCAGCTGTGTCAGAGTCAGTCTGCATTGTTCTATCTTGTTTTCCTGTATCATATATTCACACAGAAAAACAGTTTAGTTATCCTCAATTTCTCTCTAGGAGGTTTTAAACTAAACAAATGCACTCAGTCAAGTTTTTAGCCTCTGTGTCCTTAAAAAGAAATAAAAAAAATCTTTTCTTCCAGCATTTATTTATGTTGATGCAGCTATTGATCACGCTCAAAAGGAAATTATGTCTCTAGGCTTCAGTGTTAGTAGGTGGGCCAGGACATTAATCAGGAAATCAATCGTGCTGTCGATTGGCTCGGCTGTGTTTGGAGAAAGACTGCAATCTAAAGACTTGGTCGGTTTGGAGTGAGAAGATATTTATTCTGCAATTACACAGCAATATTACAATGTGTGCTGAGGTGCTATCAGTTACAGAGCGAAAGTGCCGCCTTGGCTGGCGTCTTCTGTTTTTATCTCAGCACTGCGACATTGAAATTGGTCATTATCTGTAACTGCATTTATTGGCTGTCTGCGGTCTATCTTTATTTTTTCTTAAGGACGAAGCAGACCAGCCAATCTTTTTCTTTTGTCAACAAATTCCTTGAAAAGATCGAAGCCGAGTATGGAAAGATCATATTTACATGTTGTCTACCTGGAATACAGTACAGTATGTCCTCTTTACGCACTTATATTGGATGCTGACAGAAAATTACACAAAATCAGCAGTTGAGTTGTGTTTTCAGCCCTTTATAAACCACTTTACTGCCTTAAACTCTTAAAATAGCACAAAATACTTACAAATATGTGTCTTAATTGTAAAAAATGGGAATATAAACTGTATCCAAAAAGGCTATAATCTACAGTTTTATAATTTTTTTGAAGTGATCAGTCAAAGTCTGCATCTTAAGAGAGCTATGAAGAAAACTTTTATATAACGCACAGTTGTGTTCTTTCTATTTCTATGCTTAAACAAGTGGTTTAGGTGTCCAAACCTAACCAAACTTTGTTATTATGCAACAATAACCAAATATAGGTAATGAACCTGGCAAAAAGATGTTGTGGTTCTGATGAAAAAAAGGCAGTATGTCTCCCTGTTACATCAGTTAAAATGACATAATTTTGACTTTTGATCCAACACCTGATGCAAACCATGGCCTCTGAGATGAAAAAAGGAGTTACTTTGGCATGTCGAACCCCCATGATCTGGACCTCTTGTGGTGCAGGTGTGAAATATATGTTTATTTGAAAAACAAACGTTTCAAGATAGTTTACATTTTTTTGTTTTTAGACTGTATTTTGCCACTCCTTTGCAAATTTACACATGATAGTAATTAGATTCACACATTTCTGAAACTGATTTTATTGCTGCCAGAGACTTAAAGTCCAGTTTCCCTAAAAATAAGTCATGTAAGTGTCATTACCTGGCTATGCTAACATCTGATTGGCCAAAATCCCACAAATACGCCATAACAACTTTTATGAAGTCTGTATAATTAGAGCAACTCAAGAAATAAGCAGATCACACACAACTCATCAAATCAGTCCACAGAAAATAGTACCAGCACATTTTACTTCTGCAAAACCGTTACTTCGGATTAGCACGCCAAAATGGACCATCATGAGTATTGTTATATACGATCCCATCTGCAATCCAGGTAAGGGTATCATTCAGTTATAGATTACTATATAGAAAGTTGACTTAAAAGTTGAGACTTTTGACGTATGTTTTAAAAATTTTGTCAACTGTTGCGTGGATTGCAGGACAGGTCCTTTGCTCCACTTTTCCCCTATATCCAAGCTAACAGGGGCCCCCATAGCTTCCTAAACTGTGCTCGTCTTGGCTCTAATGTCATAATTTCTGACTCTTCAGGCTCTAGTATTTTTACTCTGATAAAAACAGACAGTGGTGAATTATCCAGACTCCTTTATGCTGATTCATTGGTTATGATGAGCATGATCAGGTTGTCCTTGGGATCACTTTCCCTGTTGAGAATTAATCACCATTTTTATGGGCTTTTAACCAATCAGAATCACGTAATTAACACAGCTGGATAATAATTGGGGTTAAAGAAGATCTTTAGCGGGGAAAAATATGAGGTTTTGGCTGAAGCAAAAAAAAGGACATAAAACTTTTCCGAAAAGCAGCTCGCAAGTTTGTCCTGCAAAAAAAAAAAAAAAATTTTACTTGTTTTAACTTTTCTGAAATGTAACACCACATTCGCTGACAGGTTTCTTCAGTACAGAGTCAGATATGAATGTTTTTACTGTGGGATTTGTTGACAACCCCGGTCTCAGTACGTTTATTTCAGTATCTACTTTTTGTCATGCAATAGCTGACAACCAACATTGAAACTTTCATTGGATATTCTTTCTTTACTGTATTTTACTTGCACCAAGCAATAAATAAAATATAAGCTTCTCCAGTGTATTTTTATATTATTGTCTGTGCAATGTGATATCACAGTAACCTCTACATGCACTCTGCAAACACAGCTCTCTTTTCCCACACTCATTTTCTTGACAATCAAACATACCAGGTGTAATTTGCTGCTTCTAGCCTTTTTCTTCTACAGATTGAGATGAGAGGTGCACTGGTTCAAACATTAACACCACCCAGCATCAACATGCAGACCACATGTGGTTGGAATAATGATCAAGAGAACAACAACGCCACTGTTCTTGGGGTGAGATGGAGGTTCCCTTTTTTTTCCTCCTTTTTCACCATCACACGGCTCTTTGACAGGCTATGAATCACCGGCGTCTCTCATTCCATGTGTCAATCTGTCTCTGTTTCTCTCTCTCACTGCTGGGTTTTTCTCTCTTTCTTTGGACAACTTCAAACATGCCAGGCTCATTTTGACAGCTACATGTATCTTTGAAACCCGGTCTTTGGAAAATCAGGACAAGAAAATGCAGACAAGACCCAGATTGTAATCTTTTACCTCAATTTTGTTGCACAAATAGGTAATCCATGCCTGAGCGAAAAAGTCCTAAGAGCTGCCTCTTTCAGAAGCTGTCAGTAATTCCACAAACTCACAACAATCCCACAATATTTCCATCTTTTTAAACTTCCTCTTGGACGCACAAGTTTCCTCTTTCTCTTCTCACATCTTTTGAAAACGTCCTTGTTAGGGTGGAGTATATGTGCAATCGAGAGAACCTGCAGAAACAAGTTTGATTGCACCAAATCTGTCAGGGAGGATCATTATCTCTCGAAAGTTTCCCACCGTGAGCAGCTGGGAAATTGTCAAAAAGCATCTTGTTGTGGATGCAAATGAACCCCTTTGAACTCGGCTTTATGTATGTAGGTGTTTATGGCTGTCAATCACCATTAAGATTTTGAGAGTCTAGCAAATAGTGCACCCATTCTCATTTCTAGTCACCTTCTGTTGCATGGATGCTGCAATGCTGTAGTAAGAGCTCGCCATATTTCCTTAAAGCTGGCTAAATATTGGAATAAGACAATTTGTGCATATGATTTCAGGTGTTGAAGCACTTGCAGAAGTCACACACAATCCTGTCTGTCATTATGTGAATTCTAGCCAAAGAGAAAAAAAAACAAACAAACATAAAAAACTCTATAAATCAGAAGTGGAAGGAATCCAGTAAAGTAGAACTCGGCTTATATGCAAATGTTTAGACTCCAGAGGTCGAAACACAGGAATCATACCAACATAAACAGTCGAATCGCACTCCAAGTCAGCAAAAGAAAGTCTTATTTGAAGGTTTTATTTGGGCTGTGGCTCTGCGAGAATAGCAGCAAAAAAGGATTAAAGTGTACCACTTCTCCATTTGTGATTATTGGAATAGAAATATAAGATATAAGAGCAGCAGACTATAAGAACAGCTTTCCTGAACATCTGCTGGTGCTGCTGTTTTTTTCTCTTCTGTCTTTTGTGACTCGGGTTCTTATTAT